CATGTATGAGAACAATCCCGATGCTAAGTATGAAGGACCATGGCAATTGGCATTCCCGGTGAGCTAGCTGGCCTTCATGAAGCATGGTCAAAACATGGACGTTTGCCCTGAGGACTTTATTCCAACCAGCCATTAAACTTGCTAAAGAGGGGTTTGTGGTTTATCCTTATCTCGAATCATCCATTTCTAGTAGTGCGAACAAAATAATGGCTGACCCGGGCTTACAGCTAGTATATGCACCAAATGGGAAATTGTTACAAGCCGGGGATACATGCTACAATGCGGAACTTGGCCGCAGTTTGGAGGCAGTAGCAGAACAAGGGATACAAGCCTTCTATAATGGAACAATTGGGGAAAATCTAGTAAAGGATGTGAAAGAGGCTGGTGGAATTTTGACAATGGAAGATTTGAGGAATTACAAAGTGGATGTTATGGATGCAATGTCCGTGAACGTAATGGGCTACACTATCTTAGGCATGCCACCTCCATCCAGTGGAACAGTCGGAATATCTCTGGTCCGGTTCTCACTTTTTCCAATTTTTTTAACCTTTAATCGGATTAGAACATGGATATGAAAATTTGAGCTCTTGATGCTGCAGTTCACAAGACTGTGTTTGCTTTTGTTGAACTGTACTAATGTGCATTGATGAAAAACAGGTTCTAAACATCTTGAATAGCTATGGGAGTCCCAATGCTGCAAAGGGACCTCTGGGGTTACATCGCCTGATTGAGGCATTAAAATTTATGTTTGCTGTCCGGATGAACCTGGGTGATCCCAACTTCGTGAATATCAGTAAGACTATCTCTGACATGCTTTCCCCTTCTTTTGCCAAGAAACTTCAACAAAAAATATTCGACAACACGACTTTCCCTTCTGAATACTATATGCACAGGTTAGGCTTTGTCACGTGATTGATTCAAAGAAGAAATTATACATTGTACTTATCCAAAATTTGGTCAGTATTCTATTGTATATTGTGAAATTGATCGTGAACTTAAAGCATTTAGTCCTTAATTTCCAGGTGGAGCCAGCTTAGAGATCATGGAACCAGCCATTTGTGTGTTGTGGATGCAAATCGAAATGCAGTGTCACTGACAACCACTATAAACTATGGTTTTGGAGCTGGGTTGCTCTCTCCTTCCACTGGTATTGTGCTCAACAATGAAATGGACGACTTCTCGACACCAACAGAAATATCTCCCGATAAACTCCCTCCTGCACCAGCCAATTTTATCAGACCAAACAAGAGACCCTTATCTTCCATGACACCTATCATTGTTCTCAAGGTATAGGAACGCCGCACTCTTCTGACTTCTTTATACTTTTTCAGGTTTCCACCAATCATCAAAGCTAGAAAGTATTGGAAACGCCTAGTCATGGTTATAAGGATGAGAAATAGTTTTATTCTAATCCCGCATGAGAAAAGATTGTTCTGTAATGTAGTTGGTTTTTGAAATTGTAAGCTTCTTTAAGCAGTTCTTCCCTATGCACTGTTTGCAGGATAATGAATTGGTCGGGGTCGTTGGAGGTAGTGGTGGTCTATACATAATTCCAGCTGTGATACAGGTTTTTCTAAACCATTTTGTCTTGGGAATGGAACCTCTAGCGGCAGTTCAGAGTGCAAGAGTCTACCACAAGGTCGCTCACTTGATTTGGAACGTAAACTTCATTTCATTTTGATGAACCCTCTATTGATTTAACATGAACTTTGTGCAGCTAATACCAAATGTGGTTTTATATGAAAACTGGACGGTCATCGATGGTGAGCACATAGAACTCTCGGACGAGAAAAAGCAGTTCTTGGAAGAGAGAGGTCATCAACTTCAGGCTAAAGCAGGAGGAGCTGTCTGCCAGTTTGTTGTTCAAAACATTAACAACCCGATTGAAATGGGCCGTAAAAACCGAAAAGTGCCTGTAGACCAAGTATTCAGAGGAACACTTACTGGTGTTAGTGATCCTAGGAAAGATGGGAGGCCTGCTGCTATCTGATACTGATAGTCCCTGTTGAGAGTATTATTATGTAATTACTATTTAATATTGTTGAAATAAGTATACCACTTAGAGGGTATACTTGTTCTTTGTATGTTTACAGATAACTATAAATACAATTTGTTAGTGAGAGGTAGCCGGCACTTTCTTGCTTCTGGATTATAAAATTAGGCAGTTTTATGTATATAACAACAACAGTAGGGGCTGGTCCTGAATAAGTCTTGTTTTACCATTAAACCATATGCTTTGATGATTTCCAGTTGTGCTGAAACAACTTCTACACCGTAATAGAAATAACAGTAATGCCAATTTTTCTCAATATATTCAGAACAGTCGGTTCAATTACAACTCATTGAATCGACTAAACGTTTTCTGCTAACCAAATCCACAGCCCTTAGATTATTCCACTCTAATGGAAAGCATTCCATTTGTTTAGCTCAATGCACAGTAGGCACTACAACAATTAGATATATATGATGCCAATGAGTATCAGAAAAGGAAGTCACAGTGATAGCAAGGCATTGTTAAAACATTGGCCCAACTGACTAAGATGCTTTGTCCAGCAGCTGTATCGGAGTAAGAATGTTAGACTTGCTGGTCTCAACAATGCACCCATTCATGACCATTTCCTCTAGCATAAAGTGTGCTTTCTCCAGATGGAACATGATGTCCAGCTCACACTGCAAAGTCAAGCATACACCAAATCAGATAAACCCACAAAAACCAACAAGACAGAAATGTAGACCTGCGGGAAAGAAACCCAAAATTTTTTTTTTTTTTGGGGGGGGGGGGGGGGGGGACTTGCTCCTAAATGGGTCAGTTTTTGTTTAAATCTCTAAACTGGGAATACTTACCACATTGCCAAAATGGCGGTCCATTGTTTCGACTAACAGATGAATGAATTCCAAAATTGCAAGCTCATTCTACAGATAGAAAACGAAAAAGGAAACATTTTTGAGAAAAAAGGCATAACAGAGCATCATTTTCATGAACAACACATCAAGAAAAGCATCATTTTTCCACTTGATCAAAGACGTGTTCTTCAATTATGTTTGCCCATGGATCAAGGTCTCAAATAAGATTTTGAACTTTTCAGAAGCTACCTTCAATCTGTAATGAACCAAACTGATATGCCAAACAAAAAACTTGAGCTTTTATCACGCAACTTTCAAAAATTGCTCACGTACTTGGTCTCTTCATTCATGCTAAACCCCAACCACATAGAACATGTTTGAAACACAATCAAAACATAGAAGATGAATACCACTATTAGGTCCATTGACCAACAAGGGCAATTAATTTGTGATTGGAAAGCAAGGGCCGCCTACTTTAGACTATAACTAAATCTACGATACTGCACTGCTATGTATGCTGTTAGTAGAAAACAAACTCATAAAATTAGTAAGATTCATATGCATTCAATTTTCCCAGAATCAAGCACCAGTTCATTAAAGCCACAAAGAGATAGAATAACTCACTTCTTCATTGTCAACCCCAACCAAAAAGAACAACGAAGCATATCGCCTGTACACGATTTTGTAGTTCCGATGCTCGACAAAGGAACACTGTTCCCAAATACAGAAAATCACATCAAATTATTTAAATACCTGCTCAAATAGAGATACAACTAAAATACAAGTAGTTTCACAAAAAACACGAATGACTAAATTAAAAACTCAGACGCCTAAAAATTATTGCAAGAACATAATTCCCATATGATTAAGAAACAAGTAGTATAACAATTAGGTACAAAACAAAATACAACGGCCAAAGTCGAAGACTATGTATGCAAAGCAGGAATTCAACACAAAGAAACACTATTACAATGAGTGGTCAAAACAAAAGCATGAAAAACCACCTAAATAACTAGTGTCAGGTAAGCCGTCTCCGCAGATCTAAATCATAAAAGGAAACCCCGGTGTGAAAGCTTCACTACGCTCTGGTTGACTACTATACATGACTCAATCTAAAGGGTGCCTAATTTGACAAGAAAATTCCTTCAATTTTGTTCAATTTCGTTCGTTCATAAGGGCGTAGGTTTAGATATCAGTAAACATATGTTTCTACATATTTTCATGTGGTGCAGAGGACATAGGTCTATGAATAATCACGAGAGAGAGAGAGAGAGAGAGAGAGAGAGAAGTGGGAGACCTGTTGGTCGTTACGAGCGAGGCATTTGCGGACGATTTCGCCTTCAAGGGCTCGTCTTTCTTCGAGAGTGAGGTATTCAAAGTACTGGGCGAGACGGGTTTGCCCTTGCTTGTTCACCATCAATATGAATCTGATTCCCATTTCTGATCGACAGATTGTTCGTGCGTCTGTGTGTGTGTTTGTTTGTGCGAGAGAGAGCGAGCGAGCGAGCTATGATTCAACTTTCAACTGGTATAATGGCGTACATAATATAATATCAGAAGTACCCTTCGAAAATTTTTAAATACCACTAATACCCTATCGTTCTTTTTCACAATATTTTATTACTAATTGTTGCACAAATTGAGCTGGTTATTGTGCAATATAGAATAACTAATTATTGTCGGACACGGTGTAATAAAAAAAATTAATTATAAATATATTTATATTTATACCCAAAATTAAATAACAAAAATAAAGTAGAGAAAAAAAAATTAAATACCGCTTGTAACGTGGGTGAACGGTGGTAGTTGTAGTGGGTAGGGCTGTCAAAATTTGACCCGACATGATGAACTGATAAGAATCGATACGAATTAAACGGGTTTGGGTGATAAACGGGTTGAGGCGCCAAACACGTTTAATAAACGGATCGTGTTCGGGTGAGACCTGTCAAACCGTTTATCACACGTGTACCTGTTTAAATAAAATTAATATAATAATAAATTAAAAATTATTTAAAAAAAATTAGCAAGAAAAAAGAAGTAAAAAAATCAATAAAAAAAAAAAGTAAAGTAGTAGTTCAAAGACAAAGAAGAATAGTTAGAGAGCACTTCAAAGGCAAATGCAAACAAATGTCTTTTATTTTTGTCCCACATTGAAAAAGAGAAGAGATGGGGAGGGTTAAGTTGCCTATAAAAGACAATAACCTCTTACTTTTATTTTTAAAACTTTCAAGTCTTATTTTTCAAATACAAATGAGAGGAGTTGTAGAGTACTTGAAAGACAAAGGCAAATCAATATCTTTTGTTTTTGTCCCACATTGGAAAATGAGGGGAGAAGTAATAAAAAAAATAGAGTATTAAAATTTGTTGATATAATTTTTTTAAAATTAAACGGGTTAAACGAGTCGTGTTATGTTATCCGTTTATTAAACATGTTGTGTTTATGTTGAAATTTTTTATCCGTTTATTAAATGTGTCATGTATGGGTTTACACGTAATCATTTAATCTGACACGATTGACACCCCTAGTAGTTGGGCGATAATGGTGGTATTAGTGGGTGATAATGGTGGTGGTGAGAGACAATAATGGTTGTTGTGGATGATGACCACGTGGTGATAGCCATTGGTGACAACGATAATGATGGTGGTGAGTTTTGGGTGATGATACTGGTAGTGACATTCACGGGAGAAGGTAGGTGACAGACAACAGTGATGATGATTGGCAGTAGTGGTGGTGGGGCGACGACGATTATAGTGGCAATAGTGGTAGATGGTGACGATGATGGTGGTAGGTATGAGCGGTGATGGGTGACGACAAGTGCTTGTGGACAACGGTGGTGGTGGTGAAGTATTTTGTAGAGAAATAATTTTAAAAAATAAAAGTTTCTCCTCTTTTATATATCCATAGAAGAGATGAGCCTCTTGAGTCCTTAGTGAATTTTCATTTTTCGCCCATGGTTAATCGGGTAGAATACCACATTCTTCTATTGAAAATACAAAAAATTAAATTGGGAACAAGGAGTTGCTATTGTTATTAAAGTTTGATCGTCGAAATTGCGATTAACAAGTTTGTCAATGACATTGCCTAATTATGTTATGTCTATTGAGATTTAATTATATAGAAGGCTCTAAATTCATATTTATTGTCACCGAATAGGCCAATAGCACGGTAGAGGGGGTGTGAGGAATGCCGACAAGTAACATAGGACAGGGGAATACAACAAAACAACCTAGGGGAGACATGCTACCCAATGACATAGGAGGAGGAATGCCATCAAACTCCACGAGATCAGGTGCATTCAAGATGGAAGGAGGAATGCCGCCAGAAAATTACATGGAAGGAGTGCCCGACGATGTACCAACCTTCCAATTCGAGGATATGTTTAGCAACAAAGGTATTCCTCCCACCCCACTTCGCCTATAAATAAGTAAATCCAATATACAATTATAAATCGATTAAATATAAGTTATATAATTTTAATATAATATAAATCAAACATGATTCGATGAACATAACAAGACACATTGTCAACCCCGTAAACGTAATCATAAGGCATGATTCTAATTTTCTAATAGATGCTGGCAAATTCATACTTTCTATATTCACTGTCATTACATACAATATCTAAGCAAGTACAGGAGAAAAAAAAAGAATCAAATTAGCACCTAATATTGCTTGTACATTAGGCAAGGAAACATAAAACTAGGGTGAATTTCAGCACATAATCTCCTTGTGATTCAACTTGTTATCGGTGCAAGTATCATCTAACAGCTGAGTTGGTGGTTCTTCCTCCTTGTTGGCTTCGATGACATCTTTGGCACTCAAAAAGCTGGGCTGATTCGTTGAAGACAACAGCCTTGCCCACATCCTATCCGTTATCACAATCCTGTTCTGTATCTCTATAATTCTCTGCAGAGAGCATTTAGCAAGTACTCCTTTGTTAGCAATAAGAAGAAAGTTTTGATGACATTGGAAAAATCTAAAAAACTTTCCATCAAGAGTATATTTCATGAGAGCAAGGGAGAGAGAGAGAGGTTTGCAATTATACAAGTAATCACCATTTCCCTGCTAAAGATATTAACTTAACAGTCATAAAATCCACCTAAATGGAGCCTTTATCAACAGAAAATTATCTACATGTAAAGTTGGCCATGAATGCGGAAACCAGGAAAGGAAGATTAGAAGATGGAAGCCCAAAAGTTGTTTCCAGAACGAATAACCCTCCATATTGTTTCACGCAATCATGAACCGAAGAGGCAAAGAGAAACTTAAAGTAACAAATCACACGAAAAGGGAGACGTCTGAAAAAACTTTAGAGTTCATTATGCATATGGCACAACCATTTAACCATAGCTAAATAAGCTTTCAGAAAGAAAGCCACAACATATGATTATTGTTTCGTGTGATCATGGACCAGACTCAAAACACAACAATAAATATAAAAATAATATAAAAATATATAAAAAAAATGAAGCAACTGAGAAAACTTTAGAGTTCATTTGGCATATCGCACAACCTTAAAACCAGGGATAAATGGTACCGTAATTACAGAAATTATCTGAACAAGAAGGTAATTTTAGTAACAAAAAAAATGTGCTGTTGCCAGGGCTCATTCTTCCAACCACACGAAGGAAAGAAGATTTCAACCATAAGCCTCACACATGCAGAAACAAGACACAATGTCTTTATTCAGAAAACATTATGAAAAGATGATCAAGGTAAATTTTCAAAAATTATCGAAAATATAAAAAAAATAGAAATATCAGTGAAATTGGAACTACAAAAAATAGAAAGTAACAAATATAACAGATCTGTTTTACGGAATGGATTGACTCACATTGAAGGGTATGTAAGCATGTCTGCCATTGACTTGCCCAACTGTAAAACCTGTGTAGCCTGCCATTGCTCCATGAACTGCACTTTGAGCTAGGAGTGTGCAGTACACATTATCAGACGCAATGCTAGGAATAGCACGGATCATGTATGTAGGATCTGCCATGCAACAAAATGAAAGTACCACACTGGTAAATTATTGACCCCTCAATTATTTGACAGCTGTTATATTTATCAAAGAAACCACATATTACCAACCTATATATTTGAGATTAATGGTCATCTTCTTTCGTCTTGAAAAATGATCCTGCAAATAAAACCCATAGGTTTACTGAAAAGTATCTCATGCTTAAGGATTGTGACTGATAATTAGAAAATTTTGAGCAGTGTTTTCTAGAAATTAGTATCACATAGATTTGGTATGCAAAAAATAAAAATTTACACCTCATGTTCTTCGGGCCATGTATATGAAACCAAGGGGGAATTGCAAGAAGAAAAGAGCAAGGGCCCTATTTTTAACTATCTAAACCTCCTTAATGACCAAATGGTAGTTCCATGTGCACAAATTTACTGCTCCCTTAAGAGCGAATAGATATTCAAAATCAGATGAGCGAATAGATGTTCAAAATCAGATGCTTTCAGGACGACGTCTATTGTTAAAAATTGAGTTCTTCAGTAAGGATAGACCCAAATGATTTTACCTAAAAACAAATAAAAAATTAGAATGTCAGAGTAATATATGCATCCAGAGCTATAATTACTTGTAGAAACGAATTCAGAGGTTTGGTTAGAAGCAAGAATATGTGCACACATGCATTCACCAACATACCACACACATAAATTCACCTGCATGTGCACACACATGCATGCACTCTTCGGCAAACAAGAACCAGTTAGGAGAAAAAAAAGTAGAAAGTGCATCAGAACTCATACCTTGATCCTGCGAGAAAGCCACAGCCCAAAATCCTGGAGAAGCTTATTTCCAGATGCATCCTGCTGATCAGTAGATTGCAAACTCTCAGAAAGAAGATCCTGTCCTGCACCCTCAGCTATGACAATAACCATGTGCCCATTTTCTTTGAGTCGTTTCTCTATATATTCAAAAAGTCCACCTGCTCCTTCAAGATAAAAGGGTGACTCCGGAATCAAGCAACAGTCAACATCTCGGCTGGCAAGCGTAGCATACATAGCAATAAACCCTGTAACATCAAGTCCACTTTAAAATAATGTAGGAGCATTGAGAAATTCATAGACTCATAGGAAAAGCAGAAACACATATGATAATTCCATGCAGCCATATGGTAGCATACAGCAAAACAATGACATGCCAGTGAGAAAGACAAAGAATACTCAACATGTTCCCCAAATACATAGGATTACAGTACCAAGTGGTGGAGTGAAGCCTACCACTGTAGCGGCCCATTAACTTCACAAGGCCAATACCATTTTCAGAACTTGTAGCTTCAACATGAGCTGCATTAATAGCACGTTGAGCTTCCTCAACGGCAGTATCAAAGCCGAAAGACTTGTCAATTACCTGCAGATAGAACAGAAATAAAGCTATAACCAATACTGAAACGTTGGTATCGCATGCATAATATGATATTGAGAATAAACCCAGCCATTGGGAATGACAAATAATACTGGAATGTCATTATCAATAGTTTTGGGGATCCCAGCAACCGCAACTTGGAGACCACGCCTTCTAATTTCCTGCATGATGGAGGAAGATAATTTGCACATATTAAGTGCAAGTTATACTATCATTTCAACAAGAAAATGTGCATATAAGGTCACAAAAAATCAGAAATATAAGCTGATCAATTCACATGCGGAATATACAAAAACTCAAATCAGTGACAATGAAATTTTCATAAAACTAAATGTACCTCATAAATCACAGCTGCCCCTTTCTGCGTCCCATCTCCTCCAATTATATAAACCTAAATATAGAAATGCATATAACTCACAGATCTTATACACTGGTTTACTATGCAAGAGAACAAAAGCATATACAGCATACCTGATTAATTCCCCTGTCTTGAATGCTGTCAACTATCTTTGTGGTATCATGACCACCTCGTGATGTTCCAATAATAGTTCCACCACGTTTATGGATATCATTCACAATCTTGGGCGTTAAAGGGATTGTATTTCTAGCATAAAAACCTCGGTATCCTCCCTACAGGTCCACCAATCTCAGTACTTGGTAGTGCACATAAGCTCATACACAAAGTTACTAAAAAAGAAAGGGAATATGCATAGATCTAGATTTTATGATGTGACAAGATATACGATCTTTACCCACCCCAAACTAAAATATATAAAAAATAAAATGCAAAACACACAGAACCAAAAGTGACAAGTTTTCTAGCATCAAATGTTAGGAAACATACGTAGTTATGCCCTCCAAACCAATATTCACAACAGAGGCAAACGGGAAAAGAAGCCCCCCGAGGAAGCAATTTCATGGAAATATTTCTATTCCTTCCGTGAGCGAACCAGCTTCACTTCTTGCGTTCAAGTGCAAGAAAACTCTCAATGGCCCTGTAAACAGTTCCTAAGTTTCCCTTGACTGAATCTTTATAAAGAAACTCCAAACAATGGAATTTCTATTTTATCTCATTAGGGGCCACAACAGAAGCAAGCAAAGTAGAAGCTTCGCATAAGCAAGAAGAGGAAGCGGATAAACTGCTTGAATTATATTGAACTTCAGGATGTACTGAATTATTCCCTTACCTCTATCCCCTCAACCCTCTTAACGCCATACATATTGTAGAGGCCACATACTATTTCCCGGATCACTGTGTTGATGCCAGGGCATAAGCCACCACATGTAACAATACATGCATGTACTTCATCAGACTCAAAATAAACCTGAAAAAATAACCAATAGAGTATGTTGATATCAAGCACAGGATGACTTGTCAACACATATTTCATATGTAACCCAATCAAAACTTACCCTTTGACGGGGTCCAGCACGTCTAAAATGTGTTCCTCTTGGACTATTCTTGTGTACAACGATCTGCAATGAAGATATGAATGATGTTTAAATAGGGGACAATTATCATTTTTGCAATGGCCTGTAGCCTCTACTAACTCAAAAAATCCAGTTGTTTAAGACTCATCATAAACAATCTCCTTTCTTTTTGTAAGAAATAGAGGGAAGCCATTCTTGGTAATGTAAACACCAATTTTTTAACAAAATTAAATCCATTGGTAACCTCCAGGCCTATGGCCTATGGCCCATGGCCCATGGTAGCATAAATGTCCAGGCCAACCCTTGCCAGACTCATTTACACTGATAGAAAAACAACTAATTCTACAGTGAAATCGCCACAAGAATTCTATTTCCTGAAGCTTGAAAAAATAAAAAAAAAACTCTTTCAACTAAAAAATATGTAGAAAAAACTGACCTTTTGGGCAACAGTATCATCGTCATTGACAAAATACTGCCTGGCAAAAACAAGTTCATTCCCATTAATCAATGCAAATCAAAATTCTTATGGGGCAAATGCTAAAGCTGTATAACATACAATTACATGATATCCAAGATTACTTACTTGACAACAGAGTATGCAGGATTGTCTTGCAACGGGTTTGGATAAGTCTGCCACAACCAACACGAAATAAGCATTAGCGGTATGCATCAACCTAAAAAACAATTCTACATTAGATGGTATACACACCAAATTATATAAATTGCAGTTCAACTCTAGCATCCAAACATCCAACTAAAAAATAGAGCAACAATACATTGGTTGATTAAACAATACTGAGAGAGAGAGAGAGAGAGAGAGAGTACATGAAGGTCGGGAATGTAATCTGTGAAATGAGGAACGTCCTCGAGGACATAACCAGCGTCACCAGTAACAATCTTCAGCTTAGAATTCCCGTTATTTGCCATCACGTTTGGTGAGGACCTACTAGAAAACACCACAATCCCGTTCCTTGAACTCGAAGCAACCAAGTTCGAATTCAAATTCGAACGATCAAACCAACCACCACCACCACGTAAATTCAAAAGTCGAAATCGATGGGTGAGCTATACTATACACCGAATCCATTCAACACCAACCCGACACCACCGCCACAAAAACCTTTGAACACAAAAAACTCACAAATACAGACCGTCATTGTCTTCGTTTGTCCACGACACCCAAATAAAAACTTGAGCCTCGCCCAAGTTTTCTTAATTTCGTAAGTTTAATCGGCGTGGGTTTGGATGGCAAGAAACGGTGGCATTTCTTGAGGTTTCTTCCTGGTTTTTTACGAGAAAATGTTTAGTCGGTTCGGAACAGTTCATTCCACACAAAGTTACAGAGGGAGAGTGGGATTGAAACGCAGGGAGAGAAGTCGTTTTCTGGGAAATTTGAGTTGGTTCTAGATTCTGTGAATTTCAGTGCGGGGTCCAACATGAGCTCTGGTTTTAATCATATCGATTATTACAAAGAACTTATGTTTTTAATCGGGACGAGTCATTTGAGCTCGACTCGGACTCGACTCGAGCTCGACTCGTTTATATATAAAATAATTGAGTTATTAAAGTTTAATTCGAATTTTAAGTAAATGAATTTAAACAATTTTTAAACTTATTTAAAAAAATAAACTCACAAAATTTAAGCTCAAACTCCCAAAATTCGATTCGATTAACCCTTATACAAAGAACCAATACATGAGATCTAAGATAATGAGACTTCAATGGGTGGTTGAGTTATTGGGCATCAAACTCTGTATCAAGGGAATGTAAGTCTTGAGTACAACCCAAGGGGACTGAGAATGAGGCTAAGATTTGAATTTGATTCAATCGATTGGTTTAAATGCAATTTGATAAAGTTTGGGTTGTTTATTAGAGTCATACCTCAATCCCACCAAAAACTCCATGGGTAAGTGTGAAAGGATGTCGATGAGTAATTTTTTATGAATGTCGGACATTGTTGGCTGGCTAGGGTTTAGGATCAAGCTTTTTGAATTGGAAGAAATGGTTCGGGAATATTATGAAACTACAGCTTTGAGCTTATTATAAAGCATAACAACTTTGATGTCTTTGTGGATATGGTCTTGGTTGAACCAATAATTCTATTTCTCAATTTCATAAAGGTTAATATAATTCGCATGACAATAGGTGTATACACACTTAACCAATTAATACCCCTTAAAAGTTAAAAACATACTATAAAAAAATCCCTCATTCTTGAAAACTTACGGTAAAAAATTGATAAACACTTTATTCTGTTAAACTAATTTTGGCATTAGAGGTGGTTCGGATGGGACTACACCGATCCCCTACTTTTAACTTTTTTTGACAGGACCAAAGTCAATTCACCACTGCTGCCCGAAGATTGACATATGAACTCTGACTCTATCTTCTCATTAACTAATTACTCCATCAGTTGACATTGTCTGTGGGAAACGATTGTTTCCCTACCTTTACACAACACTTATTTATAACCATATTTAAACCCTTAGGCATGACCTCTCCAGCCTCCCAATTGGCAAAAATGCCATAGTCGATAACCCATCTGATAATGGGGCCGATAACCAAACCTTTGTCGAACGAATATATAAGAAGTTGTCGCTATGAGCCAACAAGTAAAAGAAATAGGTAAAGCCCCTCAAGTTCTAATTCTCTCATAGTGTAGTTATATCTCTAGAAGAATTCTGATAACTTTTGTTGTTTTGTTTCTCAATGTCGCTATATGTAGTTTTCTCTATACTTTTCTAGGATGTTCCAATTCAGAAGAACTAGATGGGTAGAGAAGTTAAATTGTTCTCAATCGTAATCCGAATTCAACTTGAAATTATTCATTTTTCATATACATCCATAGATTACTGTTATAAGAAATAATAAATGACTATTCTAATTTTTTAACAATACATTTATGGCAAAGAAAAAATACTCACAAAGAAATAAAGAAAAATTATAAAAAAAAAAAGATACGATAAACAGCCTAATAAAATAGAACATAGAAAATGTACATGGATAATCAGATTACGCATTGACAACGAGATTCAATTTGTGTTTGATCCTCAAGGGGTCTTACAACTCGAACTAAAATTGAAGTTCAATTAGTAGGTGAAAATCGAGTTTTACTTGGGCTAATCCCAAACTTGATTATATGATTTCAAGATGATATCGGGTTGGGTTGGGTTGGGTATGATTGTTCCCCAAGTTATACCCCTACTTTTGAGTCAATTATGTTGCTGGATTAATTTTTTTGCTATTGTCAAATTACTTATTTCGTTTAAACATTTATTTACATTATATCCTGACAGTTTATAATGATATTAGGTATTACTTGTACATAAAAGCACGGAGTAATAAAAAAAAAAGGTCAACAATAAACATATTTTTATTCATACCCAAAATCAAATCACAAATATAGAAGAGAGACAAAGGAATTTAAACACCGATTGTAACGGGAGTGATCAATGATAGTAGAGGTGGACAACAGTGCTGATGGTGCGAGACAATAACGATTGTGATGGGTAGCAACGACCATGGTGATGGTGGTGGTGAGATTTTGGTGATGATGGTGGGTATAGGTGGTGGTGGGCGATGGTTAGGGATGTCAAAGGACCGAAGCGGGGGCGAAGGGTATAGTCTCCATTCATGTACCCGTTTAAAAAATCTTTGTCCATCCCTACTAACGGGTATAATTTTTATCCTCATCCTCGTCCGCGGGTAAATTTATAATCTTCATCCCCATTCTTGCTTTTCCCGTACCCGCCCAAACCCAAGCATAAGCCCATGCCCAAACCTAAGCCTAAGGCCAAGTTCAAGTCAACATAATCCAAAATTCTAAATAAATCCAACATTTTAAATAATCTAACAACATTTTGAATAATCCACACAACATAACGTAGCATAACATATTCGAACATAACATAAACAACAAATGTCCAAAATACTACTTAAATTTGATATAATTCAACATAATACAAATAACATAATGGGTGGTAGAACCATTTCAATCATCTCTTAACACCAGCTTCACATCAACTCAATCATCACTTAACACTATTGGTGGTAGTAGAATCTATTTCTTTAACATCATTTTCCTATATCATTAAAAGAAAAAAGAAAATAGATTCTTCTAAAAAAAACTTTTAACTAAAACGATACACCTCATCATCAATATCAAGATCCTCCAATAATGTGTAGCTCTTTAGGCCCGTCGAAGTAAAAGAACCTAAAAAAAAAATAATGCATTTGAATCCTCGGATTGAGCGAAAACAATAGTGCTAATTCAACTCTTTTTACAATATTTTGCAAGGACATCGACGTCAAGCATGTGCCACAATGCTATCATACACAATAACATAAACTGTGCATGATACCTCAAATTCCCAATGACATTACAATGGCATTTCATTCCACATACCAGCAGATAGGAAAACTGTGGAGTAAATTTGAACAAATTGACCACAAGAAATAATTCCATCACTTGCAGGAAATCAATCCAACTTTTGAACAAATCAATCCCAGATCACTTTTCTATCATGGAAAGAATGGAAGGTTTGCAATGAAGCTGCTACAAGAAAAATGGGATGAATTAAACAGAAAAGTGTCTCTATAGTCTTCTTTGATCATATCACCCCAATCAAGTTAACTGGAAAAAATGTCCGACAGCAAAAATCCAAGTATGCTTTGTCCTATAGAATGTGGGAGTGAATAAATAATATGGACATAAATTACTGTAGCCCAAATAGGGAAATGCAGACAAATGGATGGAAATGGCTGAAAAGAGAATGGGAAATAAACTCATCGTTAATGAACTAAATGTGCCATGACTAGATGAAAAGATACGAAGGGAAGTCATCTTAGATGGCTGGCCAATGTGCAGCAAACAACTAACTAAAACCACAAGGAAGACTAGTATAAATGACGTTGAAAGAACTAGAAGGGCAATAGGAAGGCCTATATTGAAATGGCTAGAACTAGTGAACAAAGATGCAATTTGCAAGAATATGAACTTTGATGTCAAATGATCATGGGAAAAAGATAAACCAAATTTTGACCACTACTAGGAACAGTAAAATTTTGAGATAGCTTTTAGTGGAATTTCAACTCTTTTTACAAAATTAATGGTTATCTCTAACTCACTCATTTTGTGTCATTTTTAAGTTGTATTTTGGTATCATATCAAAAATTATCACCCCTAATAGTTTACACTGTCTATAAAGATAAGAAACAATTGAGTATCCAAATGCACCATGTACATTGTGTACAACACAAATTGATCAAAACACAATTAATGCAATTTAAACAAATTGTGTACAACACAATCAAATCAAAACTAATTCAAGTTGAAAGTGGAAAACAATTTGTCTTCTTTCGAAAAAAGACACCATGCCTTTGGGTAGACCACAAATATTCAATAATGCATAAATTAAGATTCAAACTAAGGATATTGATGGGATATTTTCAAATACTCAAAGATGAAGACACGTGTCCTCGGCATCAGTATATTCTTATTACTGTGATCACGACACGTACTCATCGGTTCACAAGTCCCTCTTCCCCCGAGGTACTGTTCATAAGGATCAATGACACCCAGTACGTTTACGTACCGACACATATCCCTCGGTCGAATATGGGGTACATTGGTCCCTACATGTACCAATCCCTCAGTACCGAGATGTACCGTCCAGGTTGACATTTTCTGCTCCTACAGAGGCTATTGATGTATAGGTCATTAGCCTAGGCTAGGTTAGGTTAGCCATCATGACCTCGTCTTACACAATTGGTGTCAGGAGGCATAAGAAGGCAGAAGACACAACCAATGGGGAATGGGCGCGTGGCATATTGTGTCAGATCAGAGACAAAAAAGACCTAGATGTCCCTGCTAACACACGACTTGGGAAATGAAGCATTTAGTGCACCATTCCCTTGATGAGACATCATTTAATGCAGGAAGACTCGAAAGTGAAAAGTAATAAATGTCCCTATGATTGGACATTTTATTACATCATTGTCGAGAGAAGCTCATTAAACATTCGGCAGGCCGATGACGAAGCAATGGTTGCTCGGGGTCCCAAGCAGTTAAGAGAGAAGACATTCCTCATAGGAATTAGTGCGCACGTTACCCATATCTAATGATCACCTACTGACCACACTGACAGCAATCATGAGTTTTTGAGGTATAAATACTCCTCATAAAAGGCAAGACGATATGCAACAAGAAACCTTTTCTCAAAGAAATACACAGTGTTTTCTCCTTCCCCCTCTCTCAAAGAACTGACTTGATCGTCGGAGGGGATACGCCAAAAAATACTCCGGCGCCTTCCTAACTCATTTTTCTCTGTTCCAGGAACCTCCCTCAACCTTACTGGACCGCTTCATTGATCCACGAAAGTTACCCATTACCGTTTCAGGCCACCACCGGACCTCACAGTCTGTTCCAAGCAGCAAGTGGTCGCTGGTAGCAGTCGGTCGCTGAACGTTGTGGGTCTAATAGCAGTAGCTCGGTCGCTCAGGCTGATTGCGCAGAAGGAGTGCTTAGCGTTGTGGGTATAAGAGCAGTCGATCGATCGGCTAAAGGTGAAGGCTGATCGCTAAGAGAGAGATAGAGGAAGAGGTGGGCGGGGATTAGGTGGGGTGGGGCGGGGCAGGATAAGGATAAGTTCATCCCTGCATGAGTTTATACGAGTATTCTCGTATATGTCCACCGTCCAATACGTATAGTCTATCCCCGATCCAAACGGGACATGTTTGGAGGAATTCTCGTTTTTCTCCAGTCCACTGCCCTCTCTAGTGATGGTGATGGTAATTAACAGTGGCGGTGGTGGGGTGACGACAATGATGGTAAGCGATGACGAAGGTGGTAGTGGGCAACGACGAGTGCTTCTAGATTGATGATTGGTGGCGAATGATGGTGGTGGTGGTGGTATGTGTGGTAGCAATGGGGGTGATAGTTGGTGATGGTAGTGGTGGGGCGATGATGGATAGTGGTAGGGGTTGATGACAGTGGTTGACGACGATGGTGGAAGGCGACAAGTGGTGGTGGGTTGTGGTAGTTAGTAGTAGTGGGTGGTGGTGGGTGCTGACAGTGGGCGACAATGGTAGTGGGTTAATGGTGGTAATAATAATAAATATAAGAATGAGATAACAATGATGGTGAATGATGACCATGGATGAAGGTGGTAACAATCGGTGGTGGGTGATAGGAGTGGGGATAGGACAATGGCAGTGGTGGGGATAATGGTAGTGGTGATGATGGTAAGGTGGCGGAAGTGATGGTGGTGGCAGAGTGGCGACAATGGTGGTGTCGTTGGCGGTCGTGGTGGGGGTGGTGGGTAGTAGTGATGGTGGTGGTAGGGCGACGGTGGTGGTGGAGGTGGAGGTGATGGCGATGGTGGTGGTGGTGGCAATGGTGGAGGTGGTGAGGCAGTGGTGGTGATGGTGGTTGTTGTAGTAAAGGTGGTGGTGTGGTGGCAGCGACGGCAGCAGTGCTAGTGGTAGTAGCAACGACGGTTCTAAACACTACTTTTAAAAAAAATATTTATGAGAAGTTATAAGTACTAAAAATTCTTTTAAAAAGTCATCCTAAATAAATTCTTAGGGGTTTATTTTCTTTATTAAATTTGGAGTGTTAATATTAACCATTGGATTAATTTTAAAGTAAAATTTAAAGAGATTTCAACCACGAAACGTAAAAGTCATTTTGTTTATCTTTTGAGATTTGAATTATATTATACTTTATTGTATAGACTAGTTATTGCTTGTGCTTAAAGGTACAAAATAATAAAAAAAATGGTCAATAATAAATATATTTATATTCATATCCAAAATCAAATTACAAACATAAAGCAAAGAAAAGAATTTGAACATCGGTTATAGTGGGAGCGAACGGTGGTAATGGTGAAAAATAGTGATGGTTGTGGTGAGTGGCAATAGCCATGGTGATGGTGGCAGTCATGAGCGACAATGATGATGTTGGTGGTGAATTTTTGGTGACAATGGTGGTAATGACAGTCATGAGTGACGGCGGTGGTTGTTGTAGGCAATGGTGATGGTGATTGGCAGTGGTAGTGCTGGGGCGACGACAGTTGCTTCTGGACAACAGTGTGATGAGTTGTGATAAATAGCGGTGGCGGTGGCGGTGGCGGTGGCGGTGGTGGTAAGTGTAGTGGGGGGTGAGTGATAGTGGGTGACGACAATAGTGGGCGATGACGATTGGTGGTGTTAAGTTTGATGGGGGTGGGTGACAGTGACTGGTGGCAATTGTGGGCGACGATAGGTGGTGATGGGTTTGTGATAGTGGGCGGCGATGGGTGGTGGTGAGCAACAATGGTAGTGGTAGGTGTTGATGATGGCGTGACCGTGATAATGATAATAAATATAAGAATGAGATAAAAGTTATGGTGGGTGGTGGTGATGGGTCATGGTAATAACAATCGGTGGTTGGTGATAATGGTGGTGGTGGCGGCGGTGGTAGGAGCAGTTGGTGTGGTTGTGGAGGGGTGGGCGGTAGTGTGGTAGTGGTGGAGCGGTTTCAAATACTATTTTTTTGAAAGTGTTCATAAGTAGTTATAAGTTCTATAAGTACTTTTAAAAAGTCATCCCAAATACACCTTTAGATGCTTATTTTTCTTATTAAGTTTGAGGTGTTAATATTAGTAGTCAGATTAACTTTAGAATAATATTTAAAGAGATCTCAATCGTGAAAAGTAAAAGTCATTTTGTTTATCTTTTGAGATTTGAATTGTATTGTACTTTATTATATATGTATAGTTTTTTTTTGTTCAAATAGTGTTATATAGTTGAATATGTATTGTATATATGTACTACTTATTGCCTATGCCTGAAGGTACACAGTAATAAAAAAATGGTCAACAATAAACATATTTATATTCATATCCAAAATCAAATAAAAAACGTAGAGGAGAGATGAAGAAATTTAAGCATCAGTTGTAGTGGGAGTAAGAGGTGACGGACAATAGTGGTGATGGTAAAAGACGGTGATGGTTGTGGTGGTGTGGCAATGATCGTGGTGGTGGTGATAACCGTGGGGTGGCAACGGTGATGGTAGTAGTGGCAGCTATGGGTGACGACATCAGTGGTGGTGTGTGTGAGTATGGGTGGTGGTGGGCAACGACGATGGTTGTTGCCAGTCGTGGTAGTGGGGCGACGACGATGGTGGTGGCGGTGGTGGGCAACGACGGATGCTTCTGGGCTATAGTATGATGGGTGGTGGTAGGTGTGGTGAAGGTGGGGTGACAATGGATGATGACAGTGATGAGCGGTGAAGGGTGGTGGTGGTAGGTGTGGGTGATAGTGGTTGTTGATGATATGTGATGGTGGTTGGTGACAATAGTCGTGAGATGATAGTGGTAGTGATAATAAATATAAGAATGAGATCACAATGGTGATGGGTGGTGGCAGTAATAGGGTAGTGTGGGGGTAGCGACGGTGGCAATGGTAGAGATAATGGTTGTGGGGTGGTGGGATTGGTGGTGGTAAGGGTGATGGTGTAATGACAACGTTGGAGGTGAGAATGACAGTGATGGTGGTGGGGCGATGACGATGGCGGTGGTGATGGTGGGGGCGATGACAGATGGTGGTGGTTGATGGTGTTAAGTGTGGTGGGGTAGGTGATAGTGGCTGGTGGCAATGGTGAGGGATGATAAGTGGTGGTGGTGGGTGCTGACGGTGGGGCAACGGTAGTAGTGGAATGATAGTGGTAGTGATAATAAATATAAAAATAAGATGACGATGGTAGTGCATGGTGGCCATAAACGATGATGGTAGCAATCGGTGGTGGGTGGCAGTGGTGGTGATGAGACAGTGAGGGTGGGTGCGGGTGGAGGTGGGGCAATAGCAGTGGTGGGTTGGCAATGGTGGTGGTGGTAGTTGTGATGGTTATGGAGTGGCGGGGGTGATGGTGAGATAGTAGCAGTGGTGGTCAGGTGCGACAACGGTGGTGATGATGGTAGGGTGCGACAGTGATGGTGGTGGTGGAGCGATGGAAGTGGTGGAGGTGGTGGGATGGTGGTGGTAATGGTAATAGTGGTGGTGGGACAATGAAAATGGTGATGATGGTTGTAAGGTGGCGACAGCCGTAGTGGTGGTGGGGTGGTGGGTATGGTAGAGTGGCGATAATGATGGTGGCGACGACGATAGTGATGATGGTGGAGCGGTGGGGGTGGTGGGGGTAGAGGTAGTGGTAAGACGGTTTCAAATATTATTTTTTTTTTAAAGTATTTATGAGAAATACTTTCTAAAAATACTTTTAAAAAGTTACTTCAAACATATTTTTAAGTGCCTATTTTTTCTATTAAATTTGGGGTGCTAATATTAACCGTTAGATTAGTTTTAAAGTAAAATTTAAAACGGTCTCAACCGCAAATAACAAAAATTATTTTATATATTTTTTAAAATTTAAATTATATAATACTTTATTATATAGATATATAGTCAAATTTATACTACATATAGCAAAGTATGTGTCAATCCAACCTATAGAGCATATTGTTAACAACCCATTAATGTAAACTATGACTTTGAGATTTTGTACAAACTTACTATTGATCGGATTTTAATTCAAATTTAAATCCGTACTTATTTTTTTGAGCTAAATTCGTAATTTTGATTGATGATCAAAATTTAAACCCACACATCATATTTAAAAGATACAAATTTAAATATATTAATATCTAATTCATTAAGAACTAATGATATAAATATATTAACGTGTTTAGATTTTAATTCTAATCGAATTTAGTTATGTTCATTGTTAGCAATCTGAAAATATGTCAAACAGTTATTTAAATGGATTTTGTATTCGGGTCGGATCATTTGGCGGACTTATTCGGACCCCAATAGTCGCAACACAAGACAACTCGGTGGAACCGTCTTCTTTCTTTAGCTTATGCCAGAGCTTAGGGCTAGAGAGAATCGGAAAAAACAACCAATTGTCATTGTGATCTGTTATCTTCATCATGTACAGAACGGCAGCTTCACGTAGTAGGGCTCTCAAGGTCAGTAAAGATATCAAAACTCTACTCACATACATCTCTATATATGTGTGTGTGTGTGTACGCATTGTCTTTGTCCGTGTATAGGTAGATGTATTTGTGATTGGCATTTTTGGTCGTTACTCACTTCTATAGTTGGAGAATCGTAGGACTAATCTTTATCGTTGAAACATATTTGGTATTCTAGATCTGATTTAGTTCCAATGTAAACTTTGTGCTTTGTTACAATGATTGATATGTTACTCGTTGGGGCTGTGATTGCTTGCATAGAAGATGTGGGAAAAATGAATACTTCATGTTATTTGAGAAAATTGTAGATTTTTTCATGTTACTCGTTGTAGTCTTGTTGATTCTTTTGACTATGACTCCACACTAATTATGACAGCAATAAAGAGGGAAAATAAGCCTATATTTTCTATTTCTCTTTGGTAAATTTTTTACTCGCAATTAATTGCCGAGTGAAGAGAACTGCAGGTCTGAATGGCTAAAGGGATTCTATACGAATGAAATTGACATAGGGAGCCAGAGTTTTTTTTTTATTATTATTATACTGATAAATTTCTGTATTATTGGGGAATGTGCTGCAGGAATGGTTTCATGTGGCCCCCCAAAAAAAAAACCAAAAAAAAAAAAGAGAAAAAAATGTTTCTTTGGATTAGATAGCCAATTTCATTTTAATAATTGGGATTATGGTGATCACATCACTGAAGCATTTATTTTCTTTGGTTTTTGACTTTTGATTTGGCTGCGGAATATTTTTACAGTCATGTCATTGTTTCTCTATATATGGCTAGCCTGATTAAGTGGGAATCTGTGCTTTGATGTCAAATTGTGCGAATAGGGTCGTGCTGGCAGTAGGGTGTTGACTAGATGTGCAAGTTCAAGTGCTGTTGCCTCCAAGACCTCGTCAGGGGGTTTCCTTAGCTGGCTGACTGGGGGAAATTCTAGTTCACTCCCTCCTCTCGACTTTGCACTTAAAGATGTTGCCCTCCCACCGTCACTTCCTGATTATGTGGAACCAGGAAGGACCAAGATAACAACTCTCCAAAATGGAGTCAAGATAGCCACAGAAACATCGGCGGTGCATATTTTTCATACCTACTTCTCATTTTTAAAGTGAAATGATGTTCTGTGTTTTAACAAAGTTGTCATTGATTGGTTTTTTGGACAGAACCCTGCGGCCTCAATTGGGTTATATGTTGATTGTGGCTCAATCTATGAAACACCAATATCCTTTGGGAGCACACATCTTTTGGAACGAATGGCTTTTAAAAGCACAACAAATCGGAGCCACTTGCGCATTGTGAGGGAGGTGGAGGCAATCGGCGGCAATGTGACAGCTGCTGCCTCTAGGGAGCATATAGGTTACAACTATGATGCTTTAAAAACTTATGTTCCTGAAATGGTAGAGCTTCTCATTGACAGTGTGAGGAATCCTGCTTTCTTGGATTGGGAGGTCAACGAACAGGTAATTTTATGCCCTTTTGCTGGGCACTTGCTAGTGCTACCATATTTTTACTATTGTTTTAGATGCTGTACTAAAAATGATATTTTACATGTTATAGCTTCTGAAGGTAAAAGCTGAGATTATTGAATCCTCCAACAACCCGCAACACTTACTTCTAGAGGCAATTCACTCTGCTGGTTATTCTGGTGCATTAGGAAATCCTCTTATAGCCCCAGAATCCGCACTAAACAGCCTGAATAGTACAATTTTGGAAGAATTTGTTGCTGTGAGTCTAATAAAATTGAGATTATCATAATTTGCATTTCCCTTATTTTCTTGGTTTGTTCTGCACATCTTTTGATTTTGTCTTTGCCTTCTCTTCTTCCAAATTGCATTTATTTTCCATATTTTAGGAAAATTATATTGCTCCTCGGATGGTCCTTGCTGCATCTGGTGTTGAACATGAGGAGCTATTAAAAATCGCTGAACCTCTTCTGTCTGACCTACCTAGTGTCCCTCGTCCTGAGGAACCAAAATCTATATATGTTGGTGGTGATTATCGTTGTCAAGCTGGTACAGGGGTATGTGTCATTTCTTGTTCCAGATGTATCTTCTATATATGTTCGTTGAATGCATGTTAGTTCCGAATTTCTCACTATGTTCTCTTGTGTTCTGTTCTTTGACCAGACAACTCATTTTGCTCTTGCCTTTGAAGCTCCTGGTGGTTGGCTTCAGGAAAAGGAGGCTATGACTTTAACCGTTCTTCAGGTAGTGTGTTCTATTATTAGGGCTCTAAAATAATCTTATGGCTTAGACCCTTTCCCCCTATATTTAGATCATTATATATAACAATGTAGACAGTTCCTCGTTTTTTTCTTTGTTTCTGTCTCCTGTTTCTTGCTGGGATGTCAACTTACTTAGAAATTATTAATGAAATTTTCTTTTTAGATGCTTATGGGCGGAGGTGGATCTTTCTCTGCTGGTGGTCCTGGAAAAGGGATGTATTCAAGACTATGTAAGTTATACACATGTTTGCTGTTTGATGAGTTATATAAACTGAGCTTTAAATACTTAGAAACACATCCACACACCTTTTATATCATAGTAACTTAACCTTTATTATCTGGTAGTATTTGTGTTTTAAGTAGTTTCTAGGTGTTGCTATCTTAATAGAGATCACATCTTGTCATTTCCATTTCCAGTCTTCCCATTCTTGTTTTAGTTACGATATCTGTATGCAAATAGAGTTTTCAAACCTAGTTATCTCATAGTTTTTTTAGCTTGCCAGTCATTTATTTGTGTTGATGGACAGATCTTCGTGTCTTGAACGAGTATCCGCAAGTTCAATCATTTTCTGCATTCAGCAGCATTTACAATGGCACTGGCCTATTTGGAATTCAAGCTACCACTGTAATGCTCCTATTTGAATCTTCAGTTATTTGGTTGGACACAGCAAATTGATTTTGTATAATCATACATGAAATTTGGCATTATGGTACCTGCAGTTTCACTAATGCTGCAACTTCCTTGACCCATTGTCTTTATTGAGTTGGTTCACCTTGTAGTGGATCTGTTCATGGATTGTTCATGTTGCACTTTGCATTTTGAGTTGACTAAAGAGGTTTACATTTGTTCTTTCAAAATTTCATATAATGTTTATTGCATTTCATCTATCCGGATGTTTGTATTTCTTTTTCAGGTTTTTGGGAGTTCTATATATGTAATTAATTGTGTTATATCCCATAACCTTAACTAATTGTGTTATATCCCATAACCTTACTGTACTGAATCCATTCGCAGAGTTCGGTTTGTTCTGTATCATCTGTTTTATGCTTGTTGTTTTTAGTTAGGTCATGTTGAGAAAGGGGGAGAGAGAGAGAGATTAGTGTTCCTGGTGGCATGTTAGAAGTCCTTAGCTGCAGAGAAAATGGGGTTGGAAGTGTGGACAAGTTGGAGAAGTTCAGTTGGTGCAATAAGAGTTTACTGTTTGGTTCAATACTTGGACTTAAAAAAGAAAAAGGAAAAAAAAGGTCCAAGTGGAAAATTTTATTGCATTGCATGTTTTGTTAATCTAAGGTGATTAAGGCCTGGGAATTTCGGACAAGTGTTGGCCTCAACATTGGGAGGCATCAGAAGGTTGTCATGATCTTGATGCACATTTGCAAGACTTGTATGGGGCCCTCCATTTGCTCTTTATTTTCTGCCCTTCTTATTTTCAGTTCAGAGGCGTCCATAATGTCTGCAGTGACATTGAGGGATTGGTTGCCTAATTGAGCTATGTTAGAATGCCAAGATGGAGGATTGAATCTTATCGTAAAGGCCATACTTTGCATTTGTTTTGAATAAAAAAAATTGAGATGACCATATCTTATACTGGCTGGTCAAGTAAACTTCTTCCACTGTGCTCTACGTGGTCTGTTATGGATAAATTGTATTAGGGTATTCCTAAGGAGGTATGTTGGCCATTTTACAGTATTATATATATATATGTGTGTGTGTGTGTGTGTGTGTGTGTGTGTGTGTGAGGCAGTGCCTCATTTACTCTCAAGTTTCCTCTCCTTCTCTGTCTAAACTTAATCTCTCACTCTAACATGATTAATGTGTACAGCAATGTGAAAAAAGTTGTTCTCATGTTTTAAGTTTTTGAGACTACTTTCAGTGAATCTGAAAATGACAGTAGTTGTTTAGATAAAGGTTATCAAGTCTTTTGGCTATGTCTTGTGGTAATCCTTGATTTTTTGGAGCCTTTACAATCTTTTGTGACACAAATATGGATCATCTTTTGGTATCTAAATCTAAGTTCTTAAGAAGAAAGACAGGGAAACATTAAGTAAGGTGTTGATTCGAGCAAACCCTAGTGTTCTCAAAGGAACATTGAACAGAGGAGAATTTCTTTAATAAGCAGAAGCCTTGTACATGCTGCCACCACTTATAGCATAGAGATTAAGACAATAAACCTAATAAGATTCCTCTATGCAACTCTAATCACAACAAAGCATAAATAACAATAAAGACAAAAAAACTTAAAAGCACCTAAAACTTAAGTTTTTGTTAGCGGCTTCAATGCTGCTCTAAATTATTGCTCTAGTTGCTCCTTTCATTGCATGAGAAATGCAATTCATGTTTTTATCATAAAGCATGGCTTCCGGCTTATAAGCAAAAAAAGTTATGAAGTGTTTATTATTTTGGTAAGAGATCTACGGTGAAGATGTCAATACAGGAAATTTTGATATGATTGTTTCCCTCCGAGTCTCATTTTTTTTTTTGCTACTTTTGGTGATTTGTTTGTTTTGCTGTTGAAAGCAAATAGAACAATTTCAAAGTGCCAATCATACCTTGTATTACAATTTGAATGCCACGTTACCCTTACTGTTGGACGTTGACTTCACTTGTTATCGGAAGTGCAATGCACATGTTTTGTTGGTTATTGATGCTCCTTTTGTGTGTCTTGTTTGTGCATATGTCCAATGAAGGCGTTGAATATGTAGACGATAAACTCGTCATGATGCAAAACATGTTGCACCACCTATACACTCTTTTAGGTAGTTAACTGAACTTTAAATAGCATTTTGGCCAACTGGCAGTTTAAAAGGTGAATACTGAATTGGGTATCCCAATGGGATCATCATGTACTTTGTAAAACTTTTGCGTTCTGTTGACCTTCTTTCTTTTACACTTCTCATCTTTCTTGAAATAGTGAACAGTATTTTACTATTATCGTTTAGCTATATCAGTTGGCTAGATATGTTCTCACTTTGTAGTCCCTGTATTTTATCTGTTAAAGTTCACAGTGGTATGCCTTTAACTGAAGCTCACTCTTTGAATTCAGGGCTCTGACTTTGCAGCAAAAGCGATTGATATAGCAGTTAAAGAACTTACTGCAGTTGCAACCCCTGGAGAAGGTTTGTCATCTGACATTTAACTTGTCTCACTTTCTGTCTTGATTTAAGGTTGGATTTCCTCACCCAAACTTCCTTTTCTTTGAAAAAATAAAAGTTCTTTATGTATGACTAAAATGGGTAAATATTGTTTGACACGCTTATTAACTGCCGAGTTTATCTTCGTAGCCTGCTATTGATTCTTGCTCTTCCACAACCCTTTTCGTCTTCCTTTTTTTCTTCTTCATGCAGTTGACCAAGTACAGCTAGATCGTGCCAAACAATCAACAAAGTCTGCCATTCTTATGAACCTAGAATCCAGAGTATGCAATCTCTTTTGCATTCATTCCTTTCAAAGTTGAATTTTCTATATGTTTAGGACTTATTTTATTCACAAGCAAGCATACTTTTTCCAATATGCATACCCTTAAGGTGTATCTTGCAGATGGTTGCAGCGGAAGATATTGGTAAACAAATTCTGACATATGGAGAGAGGTATGGCCTTGCTCTGGGAGTTTTTCAAAAACTTGTTGATGGCTTGATTTTTCATTTCGGCATGTATAGGGTATCTAGTTGCCTCTGAAGGTAGATACACGACTTTTGGGTTACAAGTCACAAATGTTAGTTGATGACTATTCATTTTAGGCCCAGAGATGTATTATAGATAAAAGATGCCCAACATCTTTCTTGCTGGTTCCACAAATCAAGTACGCGGCCTTCCTTATATTGAGTTTTGAGGTTGTTTGAAGGTAACTATTGGGAGTATTATTCATGCCATATTGACATCCATTCTCAATGATTGGATGTGAATGTGATTGAATTCCCATTCACTAGCTTTGGAAAACCAAAAAAAAAAGTCATTCCATAATGACTATGTTTAACTTGTATGTCAATTCCTTATCTTATTGTCAACATACTTGCACGTCTTGCATGTTTTGTAGGGTCTTGTAGTGTTTCTGATAATTTTTTCAATTGCTATAAATGCTCTTTTAGAAAACCCGTGGAGCATTTCTTGAAGTTTGTACATGAAGTTTCATCGAAGGATATTGCTTCAATTGCACAAAAACTTATTTCTTCCCCCCTCACAATGGCATCCTATGGAGATGGTAATTCCCAATTCCAAGAAAAACTTTTTTGATGTAAGAATTCCTCTTCATTGCATGGTGTATTTTTCTAAAGTTCACCCATGTTTGGCAGTTCTTTATGTCCCAAGCTATGACACAGTGAGCAACAAGTTCCATTCAAAGTGATATTTGCTTTCAAAATGATTACCTGGGTTCGCCCTGAGTGTTAGCATTTGCGATTCCTGTTGGACTGTTGTGCAAAACGAAGGAAATAAAGATGTTCCCCGCACAAGCAATAATGTGGCGAGGTCCTTGGCAAACAGCATTTTGACACTGAATTCATTCTTGCATGCCTTGTATTTATCTTGGCAGAGATTTTTTAGTTCTGACAAATGCTGTTTTCGCCTTGTTTGATGGAGTAATAACCCGTTAATGCTGATGAATTTTGCATATTTCTCTGTTTGGTTTCCCAAATGCAGTGTCTGTGTGTGCTACGCTTCATTTGTTAGCCATACAATAGGAAACTGCTGTTTGTTTAATCATTCTGAAAAAGGCTCTAATGTTGATGCTGTGCTTATATGCTGTTTTTTTCTTCAACTGACCATTATCGTGATATCGAAACAGCAAAATGCATCTTACTGCTAGTCTTTCTTCTCGGGATCCAGACGTATCTCATCGTGTGTTTGTACACTTTTGAATATTGGGCCTTATAACATAGCAAGTCCTACTTGAAATCTTTTGGCATTAATGACTCAAACTTTAGAACAAGTGGTGCGATCTAAAAACCTGGTTAAAATAAAGAAATGGTTTATTCTCTGTGTTTCATTTCTATTTATATTCATATATTGAATAAAACTTTTTATATTTATCTCTTTCATATATACATATACATGCATATCTAACATTAAAAAAAATAGTAAAATTCAAACACAAAAAATAGTACTATTTAAATATACAAAAAATAGTACTATTTAAATACAAAAAAAATTGAATATTCAAAAACAAAAAAATAACAACATTGAATATTAATATTTGGGAAAACAAAAATAGTAACATGCTCAACAAAAATAATAACTTGAACAGTAATATACTCACAAAAATAGTAATATGAATAATAACATGAAACATTCAAAAACAAAAAAATAGTAGCATTTAAAATCAAAAATAATAACATTTAAAAAAAATTTAAATGTTAAGGGATAATATTGACATCAGTTGTTCTTTGAATTTGACTTTTAAATTTCAAATTTACGTAAGAAAAGTTATTGACATATCTTCATTGATAATAAATTTAGGGATAATAATTATCAAGTTAGAAAACTAATTTAAAATTACTTTCAAGGAAGGGTATTTTGGAGGTTTAAAAAAATAATGGACTTAACTATTTATTAGTAAGATTAAAAACAGACTTATTCTAAAATAAGTTTACTTGACAGACAAAACTCATTATAAGTTTCTTAAAGATGACTCAATCCCAATTTTTACTTTTTTTTTTTGAAAAAAAAAATAATATTGACTTAAATGAATGACTAGCTAGTTTTTTGAGAATTTCTATTACGTCTTTGCCCAATAATTATGATATTTGTATAGGATTTTTAAATTACATATAATTGAATAATTTCACACATAAAATATCTATATAATGTGATTCCCCCCTGCGTATATCTTCTGCGTTGGAGATTCAATGGTTAAACTTTGAATTATTGATCATAGACCGTTCTAAGCTGCTTCAAAAGAGGAAATATGTTCTTTTTGCCATTTTTTTTTGCATTTGATGGGAACTAAAGGAATTCTAAAGGATCCAAACACAATTAAAAAAACTGTTAGATAGATATTTTTAGTGATTAATAAAAAAAACTATTAATCACCGAGTTTCAGTGATTAATATATTTGTCCAAAGTTCCAATCTTTCAATAGATGTTTTTGGTTTTGCATGATCCACGTGATTTGCTGGTATTTATGTAAGTATCTTGAGTTTGCGAAGCAATCACGAGTCCAAAAGACATATGATTTAGATGATTGTCGGTTATTAAAAAAACACACACAAAAAAAAGTATCAATTAAAATGGGTTTAATCTATTGGGACCCGAGTTTTAAGGAGGGGCAAAATCAGAATATTTTTGTAGTGGGGGTAAAAACCACAATGAAAATCAATCAATTGAGATAATGTAATCTAAAATACAATGTTTCCTAGTTAAATTTTAAATATCACAATCTAATTTCCAAGAAAGTAAAAATTAAGAATCTAATTATTGAGAGAACACTGACTGAGAGAGAAAATTAAAGAGAATAGTCAAATTAATGATAATCATCCAACTCATTGCAATTTGAAAAAATAGATTTTGAATGATAATAATCGGTGACTTGATGTATAAGAAAAAGAAAGAATTAGATATAAAAGAGACGACATTAAATCGCGTGTAAATTTTTAATTCACAAAATAATTCAGTTTTTTTACTACCAGGAATAGTGCTATTGAGGTCTAAAAATCTGTCTTAAATTGTTAACTTAATGACGTGATAGTAAAGATGTTAAAATAGTATTATTCTAATTATAACTCTTGAATTTATTTTTTTAAAACCACACCACTTAGCATATTTATTAGGCCAATAAATTGTTTTAAATTTTTATACCCCAAAAATATTATTGAAATATAGAAGTAGGGATAAGTTTATACAAATTTTTAGAGGGCCAAATTTTAAAAATTTATAAACATTTCAAAACTACCACAAAAAATTTAAAATTGCACTCGGGCCCCACTGCCCCCGGTGTAAATCCGCCATTGATTTTAAATCTTTCAATTTCAATCAAATTGAAGAATGGATTATGTATAGGGAAGAGATAATCAATGTTGCAAAGGTCAAAACTAGTAAAGGATGGAGTGAAGAAGGAGGTAAGGCTAACATTAGATAAACCTAACCTCGTACTTTCCTAGTGTTAGAATTCAAGAGTCATGCCCAACCCACCTCTCAAGACCTTCAAGTCCTAACCTCCTTCCACGTTTATCCTCTCGTCTTCTAGTCTTTTAGCATGAGTAAATAGCTACCCTTCTTGTGTTTTATTTTTTTTGCCTTGTTACCTTCAAAATTTTTCTCATGTTTTTAATTGCACATTAATATATTTATTTTTCCGTTAGAAGTTGAATTTGGAATAATGAGAAGTGTTCATGTTTGTCACCGCCTTTCCCTTGTGCCCTGAAAATGGATTAGCATCCACATTGCCTTCAAGTTTAAGCTCTTATGACCTTATCTTTTTATCAAAAATATACTTTTCTTGAATGAGTGAGAGAAAATGAAGGTAGAAGCTGTCGTTACCTGGACAGTTTGAATGGATAGAAAAGAGCTCTTTGTTGTCTTTGTTCGTTCGCTGTTGGGGCTAGAGAAATTCCTAGTTTTGAATCGCACATTTAGCCAAAATGAGTTCTCAAATTAGCTTCCTTAACATGAGATTTAGATTGCATACCTCTTATATCTTCTAAGATTTCTCTATAGATATGAGAGACTTGCACATTGGATATGAATTATTTTTCATTTTTTCTTATGTACTTTGATTTCATTGTTTGCCATGTTATCCATGAATGGTATATATGACCTGATAAATAAATAAAAAACAAGCACAATTCATCAATTTAAAAGATCTCCAACAATCGAACTTTTTTACATATACTCTTACTCAGGTCAATTAAACAGGATTACTGAGACGTTTGAATTGAATAGAGATGTAGTTTTTGACATCGTTTACATGAAATAACTGTCTTTACATTCAAACTCACACCCTCATAGTTGTTAACCTAGACATTTAAAAATATATTTGAAGAGAAAAATCATTTCTCACAGCTTTCTCCCCTTGTACTATATCACAAAGTATCCGTCAACATCATGTTTATTTTTGACCAAGTAATGAAGACCAAACATATGCATAAATGGTGCTGCAATTATAATATTGTCCAGTGGCTGGTTTTGGCACATTTCACAAGGTGGTTGGTTCTCAGAACACTGGTGTTTTGGTGAAAATAGTCATAGTAGTTGTACCATAGGTATGAGATTCATCTGCTTTGACCTGAATTAGAGGGGAGAATATAGGAGTGAAAAAAAGCTAACAAGAGGAAGAAAAGAAAAAGAAGAAAGCAAAATATCTATATATTTTCTCTCCTATAAGCTGGTGTTCAAGTTATAATCGAGTTTGGTGGTCTAGTGGCAAAGATAGTGCCTCGTAAGGGTCGTTATAGTAATAATCATCTAAGTTCGATTCACAGGAAAATAAATTGTTCACTTATTTCTAGTGGTTTAGTAGGGTTGGAGTCAAGTTATGACTTTAATTATGCTTAGATAGACCCTGCGGAGTCCACCGTCTAGGCCCCTATGTAGGATTACCCCAGCGGGTTCAAGTTGCTATAATCATGCCCAGATAGAGTTTCCACGTCAATCGGTATCTTGCAACCCTTTTCCCTTAATCTCACCAAAAAATGAGGTGAGATTAAAATTTGGCCCAAAAACTTGGGCAACTTATATAACAATTAAAATTTGGCCCAAAAACTGCATGTGTCTAACTTTGAACTTGAGTGAAGGAACTTTGTACAAAAATTGTCAAAGATTAGGTATATACCCAATTTACTCCTCTCATACGCCTATTAATGAGGACTAATGTAATTCTGTTCATGGACATTAACTATACGAATTGTAAATCATGGTTGTTGAGGCTTTGATATAATAATATATGACAAGAAACTCTAAATATTAACGATATTTTCATTTGATATCTTACAATTAAAATCCCTCTTTTTTTCGATCCAATTTTTTCCACACGGCTGCAAGGATGTGCATTGCACCATTTCGTTTCCAGAGCTTCATTGAAATATTTGTCCTTGAACATCTATTGGCATTGCTGCTTTGAATGCTAAGGCAACAAGGTGTGGACACTACTTTTATGCCCTATCTCTCTTACACTACCTGATGTGACAAAATCAGAGTCATTAAATATTTATTAAATTTTTTGAAACTTATTAATCTAACGGTCTATATTGAAATGGTGCACAAAAATAGTATAAGAACGTGGTATGTGTAGCATTGTTGATCGAACAAATGTTCCTTTGGGGACACATCTGGACAATTGCATTAACAAAATGCAAAACTCATTCCAATCTCTATTTGGGCATTGTAATACTTATTGTCAAGAGTAAGGGTAACTACATTAAATGCCAATCACACACATATTCACACAAGTTAGGTAAAGATAGAAACATATACATTAAATCCAATGTGCATAAGGAGGTTCCTATAATGTAATGTTTCCAGACTTGAATCACATTTCTTGGGTTAATTTTCGCTTGAAAAATGTTAAGCTAATGGGAGTCTAGCATTGTATTAATTAAAGGTGGTAATTTTTAACCAACCCGACAAAAAATTAATGGGTTGTGATGGACTGATTGTTAACACGAATTCAAGAGTGACACAACTAGTTGTCGCGAATAAAAAACTCGAGTTAGTGTCAAACATGAATAACCATCATTCTACACACGTTTAACTACTATTATTTGAATACAATATTTTAGTTTTTGTCATTTTTGATCAAGTATTAACACGAATCTTTATAAAAGGAGGATTTATTACCTTTTTTTTTTCTATTATATGAATTTATTAAATTTTTAGTTTATGGGTGGGTTTGGTTGAGAGGGTAAACCCTTCTTCATTTCTAATTCATAGGTTATATGGATCAATCCAAACATTATCGTAATAAATAAAACAGTGTTATTGTCGAGATACCTAATATATTAAGAACAATTCTATAAGGACCTAACTAATTTCATGTTGTCGTTAGATTAATTGTGAGTTCTAAAATTAGATGAAACCTACTTTCAATTCAAAAGTTGTATTGAATTAGATCTTAAATTGAGATTTAAGTAACATTTTTCATATATTAACTACTTGAGTTGGATGTTGATACATACTTGATACGAATTCAAAATAACATGACTCGAGCACAACTTGATAAAACTCAATTCGATTGAATTCGCCAACCCTTAAGTTTGTCAGAAGTCCACTAGATGGATAGTATCAACCAATATGAGGCTTTAATTCCTTTGGACAAAAAGAGAAATCTAGTCGAAGGATTTCACAAGTTGCATGATTTTGGCCATCTGATTCAATCCATATATCATAAAGATTGTCTTCTGAGATATTATTCTTTTTTTTTTCCTTTTCTGCAGATGATATCAAACCATCCTTTTCCAAAGAAACAAAATATCAGACACATGAGGAAAATGATAATCATGGCCTGCAGGTTTGTAGAAACATTTTTCTGACCCTTCATCATTTATTATTGACTGCTGAAAAGGGTAGGTATAAACATGAATGCTTAACCATCATCTGATAGGATTACTCTTGGCAACAAAGATCACCAAATTGGACCCACATGATGGGGTCCATTTTATTCATGCACTATTTATCTACGGAGTGTGAAGGTCATTAGATTATGTCCCTATATTAGAAAATGAGCACAAGGTCAAGACCAAAAGAGAAAGTAGAATGACCTAAATGTACAAACAAATGTATATAAATATTCAAAGGTCATATTTTTTTGTCCTGAATTCGGCTTTTAGATGAGCTAATTTATTTGGGTGCTTCTTGTTGAAGTCTTGTTGATTTTCTATGTGATGTATAAAAGATTAAATTACAAGGGATGGTGGTGGACCATCAAGTATACTGCTCATTTGCCTTGCATATCAAGCAACCTACTCTCTCTCTCTCTCTGTCTCTATCTCTCATGGCAAAAGAATCATGAGCAGCACTCGAGCTCAAAACCCATGTGAGTTCCTATCATCTTTTTTTCCCCCTCTGTACACAAACCCCTGTTAAAATCCAATTAAATTTGTGAATAGGTCTAGCTATCCCTTTTTAGATGGAAATTGTCACCTAATTTTTGGAAATGGATCTATTTTTCTAATTTATTTTACCAAATTAGGTAGATTTTTTTTTTAATCTTTTATTTAGTTCTCAAAGTTAAGAGGAAGGTACCAAAAGAATTCTGTATTTGTCCCTACACAAAATTTCACCTTGCACACACCTAAGTAATATGTTGTAAATTTGAGTTTGAAAATTAATATCTTCAAAATAAGGTATGGTTATCTATCATTTTTCATATGGTAGCTTTACCGATATTGATATAAACCTTTTATTATGAAAATACAACAATACAGTTAAGTATAATAAGATATGTTTCAATATAAAATAAGTATCATACAGATGTATTGCTTAGCTTTTGAGTGTGTGGCTTAGTAACAGCTGTGAAGGCCGTTTCTTAGCTTTTGCTTTACTAGTCAAGAGACTCAAAACAAAGGTGTGGAAGGCCCTGAGCTTTAGAACAAAACCAACTGGTTTCTTTCTATCCTGTTATCTCTCTCTCTCTCTCCCTCTCCCTCTGAAAACCGCCTCCATGCTCTACTTAAATTAGCAAAGAGTTAAAGTTGGTATACAAGGGGTATGAGGCACCTTTTCCTTTATCCCTATGGCTTCAGTTAAAGTACAGAGAATTCTGGTGTTTTCCATGGTTAAAGCAGGTTTTATAGCTCCATCCTACTATGACAGTTTCTTCTTTTCCTCTCTCCTAGTTATTCCTCTCCTCTTCTCTCTTCTCTTCTTCTCTCTCCCCCGGCTTCACTAATTTTTCTTGGCGAATGCCCTCTTTTTGGGTATGTCTTCTTTGGGTTTTTGTTCAAGTTCTAGTATAGATTAAATTTTTCTAAAAAAAAATTAAAGCTCTTAACTTGAAGATCAATTTTGTTTTGTTTTTTTCATTGCTTTCACAGAATTATCGGTTGAATTTTTAGTAGTTCTCGTTAATCATACATCTCTGATGTCACAAAACAAGGTCTTAGTATCATTTCATGTGGTTTTTAGATGATTTTATTGCCATCATAACATCCCCAAATTCTATTTTGTTTTTCGCTTTAGTGCACAGAACATCAGATCTCTAACAAACTTTTGTACAAGGGAATTGCTTGATCCGAAGTTCCAATTTTAGAGACCTCAATTGGGACATAAGAAGTGGATTGTTTTATATATTGAAAATTTGATGGAAGATTATCAGTTAAGTTGATAGAGAGGCAGCTGTTGGCTGATACGTCGGAACTCGAAAGAGCCATGAGCAAGGGTCAGTTGGGCTCAATCAGCAGCTCTGATCTCATTGATGCAAAACTTGAGGAGCATCAACTCTGTGGATCCAAGCAGTGCCCTGGTTGTGGACACAAGCTTGAAGGAAAGCCGGTAAGGATTAAATTCTCAGATGCTTCAAGAAAAAGTTTTTGATAAATATGCTTCAAGATTAGATAAGGGTTATGCTTTTTGTTTAGCTCCGGAATTAAACTCAGGGTGATAATATTGCCTTTTTAGATTACAAATTTAATTATACAAAATGGTCTATATCTACTATTTTTTTTCTTTTTTTTTTTGGTTATTAAGTTTGTTTTCTTTTTTGTTGCTAAAGGTGAATGGATTTTGCAGGATTGGGTTGGTTTACCAGCAGGAGTGAAATTTGATCCAACAGACCAGGAATTGATAGAACACCTTGAAGCAAAAGTAGAAGCAAAAGAATCAAAATCTCACCCTTTGATAGATGAGTTTATCCCTACTATTGAAGGTGAAGATGGGATTTGTTATACTCATCCTGAAAAGCTTCCAGGTAAGAAACCAGTACTCTCTCTCTCTCTCTAGGTGGCTTCTGCCATAATTCAATGAGTTAGGTTTTACTATCTTCTCTATAAGTTTCAAAAATGAATTAAAAATTCATGTGTTTTTAGGGTTTGTATAATTTTTTCTTGGTTTGTTATGACTTTAATGAACTCTAGTCTCACAATTGGTCACACTTAAGTCAACCCAAACTTTGATTTTGATAACACTACGACTTTCTTTCAGGAGTTACAAGAGATGGATTGAGTAGGCATTTCTTTCATAGACCTTCAAAGGCTTACACAACTGGAACAAGAAAGAGAAGAAAAATTCAAACAGAATGTGAATTGCAGGGGGGAGAAACAAGGTGGCACAAGACTGGCAAGACAAGGCCAGTCATGGTGAATGGCAAGCAAAAAGGGTGCAAAAAAATTCTAGTCCTCTATACAAACTTTGGGAAGAACCGAAAACCCGAAAAGACCAACTGGGTCATGCACCAATACCACTTGGGTCAGCATGAGGAAGAGAAGGAAGGAGAGCTTGTTGTATCAAAGATTTTCTATCAGACTCAGCCAAGGCAATGCAATTGGTCGGACCGGAGTAATGTAGCCGCCACTGGAGAAGGAAGTAGTGATCCTAATAGCAGAAGAGACAGTGGAAGTGGGAGTTGTTCTTCTAAGGAGGTGATGACCCAAAGGGATGAACTGTCTGGGGTTGGTACTGTTGGTACAATATCAAGTTACAGTGCCTTGGATATTCAGCAATTGAAAGCTGACCATTTCAGCTTTGCTCCATTCAGGAAAAGCTTTGATGAGGTATGAGTGTGTATTCATCAAAGTTTCTGCAAATCAATTTCCATGCATCCTTTTATAAGTTCAACTCTCAAAGGCATACCAATAAAACAAACGAATAATATAGATAGGGTTATTGGAGCTTTGTACTATCTTGGAAGTGGTTACATTGAATTTATTTTCTAAATGTACCCTCTTAACAATTTTGGGTAAATTTATATGCTCACTACATCTTACTAAAGGGTGGCTCAGTGTTAGAGACTCTCACCATTGCGAACGTTTGAAAAGAGTTTGATTTGAGCAACTTTACCTTGTATTGGGTCACAAATTACAAATAACATGCATGTGATAAGAGAAAAAAATAAAAAAAGGGAGGAAAAAAGCTCAATGGTTGCTTTTCTCTTTCACACTGCTTGTACATATACAGCATGAAAACTATACTGCACTTGCTTGACTATAAGTCCCCAACTAAATTACCCATTTTGTTTACCCACCAAAGGAAAGAAAAAAGAAAGTATAAAAGCAACTAGAAGAGAATTAAAAAACTTAAAAAAAAAAAAAAAAACCTTGAGGAAAGAATAGAAGAGCCTTGAAAATGGACTAGCCAGCTAGTAAATTGATTATGGAAGTTTGTTTGCAGGCAGGAATAGGGGAGGCTTCAGTTGGAAGGGAAGCTCGTCCGGCACCAACCACGTGCGAAGTACGTGACATCCACGAGAACCCGGGGCCTCATCACGTGATCCATGAGCATCAGCATCAGCAACATCATCATCATCATCAACCTCATCAGATTGCAACCACAGCATTCCACATAAGCAGACCTTCACACTCCATATCCACCATTATCTCTCCTCCTCCCCTTCATCACACCTCCATTATTCTCGATGAAGACTCCTTCCATGTCTCTAGAATGATGCTCCAGAACGAAAATTTTCAGGTAACAAAGCAAGCAAATCTCTATATGTTTTCCTATATATAAACTGAGAACCACCAAGACTGTGTTATACATGTAAGGTTGATAATGAGCGCTGTGTCATGTCGTATTGTGTTTTAAAGCTGTATAATTCTTGTCATGTCGAAATTTACTCAATCCATGTTGTGTTGGATTCACCCATTTACCATCCATATATGTCAAAACTAAACTCAAACCCATTAATATTCTGTTTCAATCTCCTGTTACATGCAACCTTTTCAGTAGTTCATGCCAAGTTTTCACCTAGATAATATGCAAAATGATAGGCTACATAGTTAAAAATATTAAATTGCTCCTTAGGATTGTAGTGGAAGAGTCGGTGACAGAACTAGTGTCAACTACCTCGCAAACAAGTAATTATATTTTCCCTTTCAGGCCAATTCTTGTTTTTTGCAGACAATGCATGATCATATAGATCATTATGTTTTCTTTTGTTCTAGGATAAGTTTATGATATGGACAACCATACCACAAATAATTTTTTTTACCATTACAATAAACTAAAGTAAAACAATGAAAAAAAAAATTATAGGTTTTGAGTCATTATTGTATGAAATAATGAGGTACGACACGGAAAACTAATTTCTGAGATTCAAAGTTAAGCCCTTCATTCTAAAAGACTATTATTTTTCCTCAGCAACATCAACCACAGCAACCGCAACAACAACATCATAAGCTGGGAGGAAGGTCTGCATCTGGATTAGAGGAACTCATTATGGGCTGCACTTCAACTGACATTAAAGAGGTGAGTATGAACTTTTTGACCCTCAATTTTATGAACCTTGTTTGTTGAAATATCAAGTTAAGTTACAAGAAAGAAAAGGCACCAGGATTACAAAGCATAAAAAGAAATATCTTCTTCTTCATAACACTATTATTTTAAACTAAAGAAAGGAACTAGAAGCCTTTTGCTTTTGCTCTTTAGCTCTTTCATCTTTCCATTTCTATTTTTCGGTGGTTTTGATTGCAGACCATGATGTCAAAATTGTCCAAAATCAAAGAACAATCTTTAAATACCTTTTCTGGGTTATTTCGGCTCCCATGCATATATGATACTAAAACTTGTGTAATAAACCCATTTGCTTCTGTGAACTTGCATAACTGCTTAAAATAAAGCTCTTCACAGAAGAATGTTTCTATTTTTTCCCTTTATTTTACCACCAAATTATGAAGTTAAAGTAAATTAGATAGGGAAACTGTATTTTCTATTTTTATTTTGTTTCTTTATTTTGTCATACTACCATGGTACATTTTTTTCTATCTGTTTCTTCTATTCACACTTTCCTTCTTGTTCTCTTCAAGACTACGGACAAATGTATAGAAAAATTGAAGCTGAAACTTGTTCGAAGATGTTTTTAATTTTGAGATTGCTGGTAATAAGAACGGACCAACAAAATGAAGTGCTAAAGAAAATGATAAGGAATAGGAAAGAGCTTCTTCCTAATATTTGGTTTGCCTCAAATGATACAATGAATAACAAAAAGGAAGATACACAAGTTGTTTAAAAAAAGTTGTCAAAAAATAAAAAGAAGATGGTGACCCAAAACTTTTCTTATCTGTGAGCATCCTAAGAAATATGATATAAAATAAAACAAGAAGAACAACATTAAACTATGTGTCCATCGAGAAGGAGTACAAAAGAGAGGCAAGTTGCTTCAGCTGTGTTTCCTCAGTAACTTTTTATAAAAACCTTAGGGCTAGATTTTATTAGAATTTGAACTCATTTATTTGAAGCATGTTATGTTTTTCTCGTCATTTCACTTTTTGTTTTTTCAAAGATAAACGTTTTATTGATCCGAAAACACAAGATGTACAACAAAACTCAAAACACGACTACAAGTAGTAGTACTCAAAAGAATATTGCACACAAATTTCTAACAGATTTGACATGCTTTTAGACAGACTGTTTTCTAACAGATTTCACATGCTTTTTATGTTATTTCAGGAGTCTTCCTTACCAAACACACAGGAGGCAGAATGGTTGAAGTACTCAAACTTCTGGCCTGACCCTGACAACCCAGATCATCATGGGTAGAAGCAAAAATAAAACCCAATAAAAAAACCCATAGAGACAACATCATTATCAAAATCATTATTACTTGAAGCCTTCCTGAATTTCTTTCGAAGAAGAGGCCAAGTGACCATCTATACAGTTTACTCTTTTTCTGTCTGTTTCTTCTGGAGACCTGCCTGGGGTCTGATTTCCCAACTGAACTAACTGCACAACAACTCTTGTTGGAAAAGAAAGATGAATATATAGAAAAGGAAAAAGATAGAGAAGCAAAGAAAGAAAAGAAACCAAGAAAGGCTGCTCTCTGCTGACAAATAGAAGGAGAACCAAAGACCCAAAGCAAATCCATCCTGCATGAAAATCATCACCAGTATGATTACAGTATCATCTTTATGGCATTCTTAATTATTTGTTTATTTTTATCTATTTTGTGTAATATCTTTAATTGTTTTCACAAGAAAATACCATAGATTTTTGTGCATATTGCAACAAAAAAAACTTTCTTAATAGTGTTGTGGGCAATCACTTTTGGAGATGATACTTCTTGGGTTCTCAAATGATTTCCCTTTTATAGAAATGAAAATATGTTTAAAGAACTTGTAATATATTCTTGGTCCTTTACTTTTCTGCTGCTATTGATACCCTGACAATTCTTAGATAACATCGTTTAGCCTTGCTTCATAGATAATAAGATCATTTTAAATGGATTATTATATAGTATCAACATCCATATATTTGTTGGGATTTCTCATGATTTAAATCCACTAACAAACACACACAATCGAAGAACAAATCAAGAATATAAAGCAATAAGAAACAAAAAAGAACAAGACACAGATTTTACGTGGTTCGGCAATTTGCCTACATCCACGAAGCTGCAGGGATTTCACTATTGAGAGAGTTGAATACAGAGAGCGGCTGTACATCCACGATTAACCCTAATCACCAAAACAACAGGGTTTATATGTCCTACGCACTGGGCTGTATATCGGCCCAAGCCTTCGCTCCATGGACTAAGCCTCAGAAAATTTTCCATTAAAAACCACACAACATTATTTCGGGTCGGGTCATCATCCGGATCACAAATACAAACTAGACTCCATAAAAAATAAACCAACAATATTCGTATATCAAAAGATAAGATCAAGTAGGCGAATAGGAAATTAATATGATTTTCCGGCATCTCCATCTGTTCCTTTCTTAATTATAGCAATCTTACAAAAAAAAAAAAAAAATTAGCCATCTATGGGGGAAGAATATGTTACCCATGCATCATAATAATGATTCAAATACTTAAGACGCAATACTATCATATGAGTTGTTATATTCATCCTGTCCTGTGTTATAGACTAGGCATTCAGATAGAGGATAATCTTTAGGTGTATCTTTGTGGCGTGTTTTAATCGTCATTATAAAATATCTATTTTTTTGCGAGAAAAATTTATTTCCTCACCAAACAAAAAAGAGTTATTTTGTTATCCTCTTTATTGTCATAGCGCTTTGGAGGGTTGAATAACAGCCGCTTCAAGCAATTCTTTTAATAGCTTTTGAAGTTCTTCTAATTTGACAGGAGCCATCTAGTAAGGTGCTTTAGCCAGGGACCTTGCATCTGGAGCCAACTCAATTTAGTGATCAATAGTCCTTCGAGGAGGAAGAGCTCTCGGTAGTTGTGATGGCATGACATCCGAGAACTCAGTTCATAAATTAAAATCTTTTTTTCCTTTTGGAACCAGTGTTTCCTTTCTTTGGGGAATTTCACCCAAGCTACTTTGATTTAGTGGTTCCCTCCCCTAAGGGATAGAGACTCAAGGCTTATTCCAAATCTTTAGATCGACCTCTTTCCAATTACGAGATTTTATCTTCATGGGCCAACTTGCTAAGCGGGCTCAGAGCCCTAATTCTTGAGTCAAGGCTGAACTGCATATTTAATACCACAAAGAAGAAACCTTAATCTGATCGAGGACTTATATCATACCTAGGGGTGGGATCTGCTATCGACATGGAAGGAACAGAACCTCGGAGGCAACCTTTAAATAGTATGCTTCAAGCTCTATAGAGACTTTTGAGTTACTGCTCTAGGGTCTGTTTTTTGGATGTTGGCAAGATTTCTGCCATTTTTTTTTCTAAGCTAAGTAACTTGACTTGAACAAAGCCTTGTCGGTTGCTTTTTTGGAGTTTGTCTAATATATGTGAAATTGTCTATTGTACATATTAAAAAGACTTACCTAGAGTGGATTAAAACCTTAATTCAACAAATCTTAAGGGTAATTTAAGGGATAATAAAGACGAACTATAAATTTATACATCTTAAATTTGAATTTTGGTTATTCCTTGAGCCAAACTATGAAGATTTATCTTTTATGAAAAATTTAATCTCAACATGGATGAACTATTTTTGATTAAGTCGATGAGAGAATTAATTGAAGTGCATGTAAGTTAGTTTCAATTCACTTTTCCAAAAAAATATTAATTAGCCATGAAACAATTTGGGATCTATCCCAAGTATTTTACATAAATTCAAATTCGATTCAAGTTTGATGTGATTGGATCCTAACTATTAGTACGCTAGAGCACGGTGAGCACCAAATTCCATGTACATTCTCTTAGACTTGAGATCATTTTGATATGAATAATGCTATACGGATTTAAAAAATAGACTTAAAAATTAGACTTGATAATTTTAATCGTTAATTTTACTGTGGATCCCAGCATTTATTGAGACTTACTACCTATTCAATAGTTAAAATTATAAAATCTATTTTTTAAGTTCATGTAATATTACTGTACAGTAAAGTTGATAGAATCCTTCCTCCCAGAGCGCATTTATGGGTGTCCTTGGCATCTATCCAGCATAAAGTGGGGGAAGCGAGTTGGGTTTGGTTAAATTCTCTTTTTGGAAATTTGGAATCTTCGTATAGTACCAGCAGACTTCACATTTTATGTCACTCAATTTGTTGTCTATTAGAGCTTCTTTTCGCTTTATTCTATTCCTCATTCGGGCTTTTTTTCTGCAGTATTAGAGGAGAGATATGCTTAAATCCCACAAGAGAGAGAGAGAGAACTAGAGAGTGAGAGAGAGAGAGAGAGAGAGAGAGAGAGAGAGAGAGAGAGAGGGTAACGTGCATGGTAGGCCTTTTCTTTATAAGGGGACGTGCATGAAAAAAAGCTAATTAGCTAAATCAACATGGAGGTGAGGGAGGTTCATCGTAGTTTCTGAAGGGAATAAAGACTCAGAACAAGGACTGATGAGAGGACAAGAATAAGCTTTAAGTCCCGAAATGACCAATATCTCCTGGGGACACAGATGCCTTATTCTGTGGGAGAGCAAGCAAAGAAGGAAAAGCCTATATATGTTATGGTATGGTAGAGGATACGTAGGAATAAGAAGGTAAATGTCTCTTTCCACATGCAATATAAGAAAAGAAATGAACTGTCCTGTTCAACCTAAAAAGTTGGTATTCAATTTCTTTCACTTTATGAAAGATTTTGGATGCTTTTGAAGGGGGGGAGAGTACTACCAGAGAGAGAGAGAGTTAGGGTTCCACGGTGTGCAGATTCGGTCCCATAAAGAAGTTGCAGAGAGAATTGTGATAGTGCAATGAGGAATATCACAACATGGCTGTACCCACCTTTCTGGGATTCTTCAACAAGGACTAACCTTCTTCTTGCATAAAAATCCAGAACCCAGGAAGGTTCATATTATAAAGAGAGATGTTTTTTTTGTGTGGATATTTGCAGTACTTCGTGCTCGTATGAGATTTGGACAGTTTTGTCAATACTGAGAATGAAGATGACCATTACATAACGATGAGTCCCTGTAGCTTCTTACAAGGAGAGAGCCAAGGAAGACCCAATACCAAGTTTAGCCAAAGATGGGTCTCATAATTTTTTTTCGGGTTAATTACAACGGAGGTCTCAAAATATGGAATTTGTCTCATTTTGGTCTTTAATATTTCAATTATATCATTTTAGTTACTAAAATATTAAATATATTTGTATATGGTCTCTCAAACAAACAGTGTCCAGATTATTAACGATTTTTTATCATACACTTGTCACGTGATACTTAAATGTGAATAAAAAAATAATTTAGATAACTCTTGACAAAATTTCTACTCAAATTTTAATTAAATAATTACCTAAATTACACAGTTTTGATCATAAGCTATCCAAATTTTGGTTAGCAATTTGGACTTTATTTGCTTGAAGGATCATATAAAAATATATTCAATATTTCAGAAACTAAAATGATACATTTGAAACATTGCGGATCAAAATGAGAGAAATCACATACTTTGAGGACCTTTAATACAGTTAACCATAATTTTTCTTTTCCTATATTTTTTTCCGGTCAAGCAATGTTAGATGAAATTAAAATATTGACTTAATCAATCTCTATCATTTATTTAACAATGAATCTCATATTTATTAAGACTCACTTACTTATTCAATAGTTGTGATTAATCAAATCAACGAATCAAATCAATATTTTAAGTTCAAGTAGCATTTTTCTTTCCGATCTTATAGGTGGACCATACCATGGTGAGGTTATTTTTATTGTGATTTGTGCGTCAAAAATCAAATCACATAAACAATGTCTCTGCATGGAAGAAAAAACCAGTGACTCTGCATTGGTGGGAGCTCGTGCACTAAATCATTATGATATATTTTTTCCTTGAGAATAAATTCTTTACGGCTTGCCTATAAATAATTGAATTTGTAGTCTTGTTTGTAAATAATGTATTCTCTTTTTCCTTTCTTGTCAGTGAGAAGGGTTTGATATCTCTTTCATATTATGGTAGCATTATTCAAGTATAGCATGTTTGGATAGAGATCATCTCAATTACAAATTTTGTTTGATATAGAGTGTTTTTGAAACCCCATATGGCGTTTGGTTCGTCGGGTAGAATAGGATGGGATTGGTGTGTTGCATCCAACCCATTCCTTCCCAATCCAACCCATGCATTTGGAAATGGCTTATTTCTAGTCAATCTTGTGGTGGGTTAGCATATATGAAAATTGTGGAGCCCCACAAATAAATCCATGTGATGTAGACTTGTTTGGTGACCATTGTAGCAGCCATGCTTCTAAAACAGTTCTGATTCAATTATTGGGCATTTTTAATACCACCCCCAAGTGGGTTTTAAATAATCACATGTACATGTGACTGTCTGTAACGATGATCTTGGGCCTGGATTTATAATCTTACCGAGTTAAAATTTGCCAAACATGACGTAAAAATTGGAAGGAGGTACACTCAATTAGATTTAATTGTAAAAAAATATATAAAAAAAAATGTTGGGTAATTAAGTCCTTAATTTTGATACTTATTTGTATCTAAGTACATTATTTGAATTTTATTAATTTTTTGTGACATTTTTGTCCTTCATTAATCCATGTGTATTTAATGCACCATTTTTTTTAGAAAGTGACTTTATTTTCAAATTAATTTAATATGCGAATAGTGTAATAGTGTAACAATAAAAGTGTACCAGTGTAACAATAAAAGTGTAACAGTGTTAGTGTTAGTATAACAAACTATTTACACAAAATATGTACTATTACATTTTGTCAAACATACAATTTCATATAATTTCGTTCAAAATTGTCCATCTTTGTTTTGAATTTGTTACCACATATACAAACTACTGAACACTATTTTTATTACAGCGTATTTGTTACACTGTTTTTGTTATATTATTACATTATTCGGATATTAAATTAATTTGAAAATAAAACTATTTTCCAAAAAAAAACTCTTGAATCCAGGCATATTAAATATAATTTGAAAACAAAATCACTTTTCAAAAAAAAAAAATACGCATGAATCACGGTGCATTAAAGATTATTCAAAATTTAGATAAGAAATTTTTTTTTTGAATTAAATGACCTTAAAATTAACATTTATGTCTTTGTAACTTAGCTGTGTATTTTTTTAACATATTTTGTTCTATGTACGTTTTTGCTAAATAAGTTTAATTACATGTACCGACTTCCAAATAACCTAACATAGAAAATGTAAACCCATGACTTATTTTGCTCCAATCACAACATCTTTCCCCTTTATTTTCCACGAACCAAACGGCCCAATAGTGGATCTTGTATCTTTATCAAGGAAAGGAAAGAAATAGGGGATACCACTTAAATGGTCCCAACTCCACCATAGGAAAAGGGGTCTTCTTCGAATTGATATACATTTCAGTACTAATATTTTACAATTCACTCGTCATTTATTATAAATTCAAGTGCCTCTCACTATTTTTAAACAAGTTTTCTAGCAAGACACGAGTCTCCTAATACTGAAACTAACGACTCCTTACTACATCACATTGAGCATACCAATAAACTCTGACTCATTGATTGACATATCTAATTTAGATAAACAAACATTGTCCCGCATTAAAAAGGCAGAAATTATAAATGCTATTGATATGGATTTAACATTTAGAAAAAAAACTAAAAAAGTAGGTCCAGTGTCTTCATGGACCCCACATGATAATTATCACAAGTTGCTTCTGGGTATCGTAGTCTGATCCATGTATGTATGCAACCAAAATTTGGTTGTGTTTTCGCACTGAGAAGCCCACCACATGGAAGTTTGGTGATCGTTGTACGGCCCAATAGCAGTATGCAGAGTAAGTGTGCAATTCGGACGGGTTAGACGGGCCGAAGGATCAATCCTACAAATATAATATTTAACCCGAGAACCCTACTTCGACTTCAATTAGAGGTACTCAACTTGAGTATTGCCCAAGTTAAATTTGGATGAGTTCAAGTTGAATTCGAGTTTCTTAATTCGGGCTAATTTCGGGTTTGAATTCATGTTAAATTCGGGTTATAAATCAGATAAAAAAATTACACAATTCAATTAGAATACAACACAAAGAAATTAAACAAAAACTTCCAAAATATTATAACCACAACCACTACCCATAGCCACCGCCATTGTCACCACAACCACTGCCCATAGCTACCGCTACTACCACCACAACCACTGCACACAACCACCATGCCACTTGCCTACACAACCACCACACCACAACCGTTTCTCACACAGTCATCAGATCTAACCATCGTTATGGTCTTTGGCATAAGGAGAAAGTGAGAGGGAGGCCAAGAGATGGAGAGGGGCTAAGAACAAGAGTGAGAGAGGTGCATGAGGTAGAGAGCAAAAACGAAAAACAAACACACACACACACAGATATATATATATATATATATATTTTTTTGGTTCAAGTTGAATTCGATAACCCGATAGTTCGACTAGGATGTTGCCTGAATTTAATTTGAATCGGAGTTTTTGAACCTAGGTCCATCTCACAATTTTAAAATTTCAACTCTAAGTCCTATTATTTTTTTCTTAAGTTGAACACAAGTGGAAATTGAATGGCCAGTCAAAGTTGAACTCCTAATGCAGAGCTGATTTTATCGTCTGGGGCCTAAGGACTTAGATCAGAATCCAAAGTACCACGACAGAGTGTGATGGACTTCGTAGACCTACGAGTGTCTTTTCCTACAAAAATTAGACTTACAGTTGGCTGGTCTACCACCACTAGGCACACTAGCTTAGTCAGGGACGCCAACCCCTAACCTAAAAATGTTAAGCTGTGTATCGTATCATGATCGAACAACTCAGAACATTTTATTTGTATACATTTTATGTTAAGTCGTGAGTTTGTATCACATTTAATTGAATTCGTTATAGACTTAATCATCTGATCGGTACCACTCAAACCTTACGAAACTAGAATCCGCTAACTTCGTTTTGATCCGGATCAAATTTGCAAGTCATGTCTAACACAATTTACCCTCACATCCTGGAAGGGATATTGTGGGTTTACATCTCGTAATTCTGTTAGCTGCTTCAATCCCTCTTCCCATTGGGAAAAACTAGATCCAGTGAGCATGCTTCAATTCTGTTGACATTTGGCACCAAAAGACTTCATAATTCGGAGTGTCAAAGGAGTACCATAAGTATGATGATTATGACACTATAAGCAGAGTACCCAAATTAGAATAATGGGGTACAGAATACTATGCATAGAAACTCACCTGAGATTAAAAATTCAAATTTTAGAGTTTACATTAAAATTCGATCGTTGACCACTACGCTAACCTAATTAAGTTCATTCTCAAAAAGAATAACGGACACAATCAAGTACCTCATGATCTCACCCGTGATGACTTATCGGAGATGGTCTCTGGACACGTTCCTTTGTCCCACCCTTTTTTATCACGAGTCAAAAAAAAAAAAAAGAATTTGTGTCATTGGTTTACTGACACGCTGCCACAGATTACAATTCTATCACTTTGGAAGCGTTTGATCAGGGGGTACCTCAACATACAGTCGATAATCAAGATTAAAAATTGTATCTCTTTGAAACGAACTTTCTTTTCATGGTAGCCTGCTCCCAGTAAAGAGGTCTAATAAATCTATGACAAAAAGTGGGGAAAAAAATAAATAAATAGCAGCAATATGTTCCGTCGTAAGGTCCTAACTGATGCATGGAAATATAAAACCCAACGGGTTGGAGGGTTGACAGTGGAGGTAAATGAGTGTTCAGAATGGAATGGACACACTCTTTGAAAATGACCCATGGAGGTCGCAGAATACATAAATGACCCACTAGTATATGTTTATGAGCTGATGAAGTATGAATTACACAACCTGATGTAATTATATTACACAGGTAAAAACTAAAGTCATACCTTAACTCCAGCATACACAATGTTGCAGAGCGCTTCAGCTGTCCCCTTCCTTTAATTTCTATTAGTTCTCATTCGCTCATAAACACAAGGCTATCGGAAGCAGGGAAAATAGATGATGCATTTAACATAATGCTTTTCTGCACAAACAACCCGCTCAATAAAAAGTGCGGGGTTTAGCAAGCGCGTGCCTCTGCCAGCTGCCTTGAGACAGGTCCGAAGCCACCCGAAACTCTAAGGGATGCAAAGAGGCAGGATAACCTTGCTATCATGGGTCTAGTCCTTGCCACTCTGGGGACACTTACCAGCTCCTTGCTGGAATCACTACCACAAGGGCTATGATACCCTTCCAAATCTGCTTTTGTAATCAGAACAGCATCTCCTGAGAGAGACAGTGGAGTAGGAGCTAATCTCTGCCACCAAAATTCTTGGACGGCCTGCTTATTAGAATCATCAATTGGAATAGAACAAAGAGAAAAGGTCATGAAAGAGAAATGCCGACACTTTTAGTGCACTTCAATAACAATTCTTCTCGACCACCAATGATAGACATTGAGGACCTACTTACAGATTTAGTACTTGGTTTTTTCAAGAAAAAGGCAAGGAAACCTTATTTCTTACCTTCCATTGAGAAGAAGCCAACAGCACTCTAGGTCTTCTAGACAGCACGTATTCCAGTGCAGCAGCAGGAGTCATGTGCTTATACTCAACCTGCACACAGACACACACACAAAAAAAATATATACAACTCAATTTGACTATTTTTCAAAAAAAAATCCAAAAGAGGTTGACAAATAAGTAACTCAGGCATTTTAGGTTCAGGAATAGATGAATAACCAGGCAAAAACAAGAAAAACGATTACCAAATAGCATAGCACAATGGTTGTGCTCCTTCCCCTCCCAGCTTTACAGTGTACATAAGTAGTCTTCCCACAAGATGCGTTCTCTACGCCCAAAAAAGACAACCGAAAAAAGAAAAAAATTGTGCATCAACAAAACTCCAGACAATCTACAAACTTAACAATAGTAGATTCACAATCAAAGAAAGATCACTGACCATGAATGAAATGAATAGCTCGATTAATGTCCACACATGAAGGGGCAAAGAGGTAATCTCTGGTAGGAATGACCAAATGGTCTATTCCATGTGCCTGCAGACAACAACAAAGATGAGATGAATCAATAGACAAGAACTTGAAAAGAAACATAACTGATCCTTGGGATTTGTTCTGTCAACAGAATTTATTTCAGAGGAGAATTCTGGATGAAAAGTAATCATTTTTCAAAGCAATATCTATGCATATGGCATTTTGACGTGAAGCTTAGCTAAAAGGTATTTCACACATATTCGAGTAGCTTCATAAGTAAAAAATTGAAGCTGGATAATATTATTTCCATAAAAAATTTCACTGCAGCAAATGAAGATAAAAATTAAAAAGCAAAGGCTAGAGGCAAAATTTTCATTGCAGCAAAGAAAATACAGAACATCGTATATAGAATCAAGGGCAAAGTTAATGATGCCACTGGAAAAGAAAATACAAGAGCATCATGATAAATTCAAATGCAAATTCCAAGCTACGTCTTGAAGAAATCCTGATAGTTACGTTGTTTCTTGCTGTGATGAACTTAAGTAATCAAGTGAAGGTACAAAAATGCAAGTGCATCTATATAGAATGCAGATATTCAGCAGCAAATAACACCATGAAAACAACTACAACGTGCAGTAATCACTCACATAGTATAAGGATGTTGGAACCAAAGTTTCATAAGGCTCGTTGAGGGTGATCACACCACCAACACCAAGCAGCTTCAACCTAGGAACATCCTTAGGAAATGGAACTGCTCCCAGTAACAGAAACTGTATAAAAATCAACAAAACAATGAAAACCAGAACTAATCAACTATATTACATTTAACCTAACTTTCCACTTGAGTACCGTGAAGGCTTGTACAGAATAAAATCAGTTCATAGACCCACAGTAAAATCAAGGTTTTATTTTCTCAAATCAAATATGACTAACCACAATCATATTGTAGAAAAATAAAATCAAGGTTTTATTTTCTCTTCTCCGCCTTTTTCCCCAATGACAAAACCGATCATCAAGAACAATTCAAACAAGTAGAGTCTTACTTAAACTGATTAAAATTCCATTTTAAGTTTCTGCGCTTTCTCCATAGCGAACCTAATATTAAAACAAGTTCAAGCTCCAACCCATAAAATCTTTTTTAACAAAAACAAGACGAAAACACAATCCAATCAAAACATCAGAAATTTCCATTTTCCTTCTCTTTTCCCCTCATTTTTCTCACCAAACAAAAGATGGTAATAGAAAAATCACTAAACTACAAAAATATAATTAGAACCAATCGATCAAGACACAAACAAGAATTACATGACTTCCCAAATCACCAAAAAACTGAATAAATTCAAATTGCTTGATATAGCACGTCAGACTATATGAACGAAAACATCAAGAATGTATAAACTACAAATACAACTTGAAATTATAAATAAACCTGATCGATTTCATCCCACCATCTAAACTCAGCTTGAATTTTGTTCCGGAAAACATTGTACAAAAGGGTCGGGTAGAAAAGGATTCGAGCACCTGCTCCGACTAAAGCTCTTTTCGCATCGACCCGAACAATCTGCCTTCGATGAGCCCACTCTCGATCGTTCTTTGAATCAAATTCCACATCATCCAAGTCTTCGATCTTCATGTCACCGATCGCAACCAAAATTCAAACCAATCCAAAATCCCAATTCCACTTCGAAGCGATAAAATCGAGTAGTTTCGAAACCACAATGGATTGATAACGATTGCGAATTGGAATTGAATGATCGAAATTGAAAGGAAAGTAAACCCTAGAATTGTGTAAATCTGAAATTGTCACAAAATTGGATGCAAATTATATCACTTCGAAGAGGAAAAAGTGGGATTGATTGTACGAGGATTGGAGTCGGGCATGTTCTTGGAGATTTCAAAACATAAAAGAGGGATTTGAGAGTTTGATTCTGAGCGTTCTAAAAAATGTTCGAGAGTTTGATGAATTGAATGGAATAACGAATAGAGAGAATCAAATGAAGTTGAAAAAAGAGAAGAGAGGATTTGATTTAGGCTTGAAGTTGGTGATTATTTACCGAACAACCTAGTTGGACAGATATTTATTGTGGGCATGAGGATTATGATATTTCATGGACATTCATACATCCACGGCCCAAATATTGATTGGCCCCACGATCAAGTCCTATATTTCTTATTTGACTTAAAATGTCATGCTATTATTAAAAATCTTTAAATCATTTGATTTAACATTTAAGGGGTATATATGATATTTCAATGAAAGAGGAAGTTTTTTTTATATATGGTATATTTGCTTTTAGTCTTTAAAATATAAAGAGCAATGTTTTTTTTTTTTGGTCATTCATAAAACAAACTTACAAAAAAAGCATACTAACACAAATAGAAGAAACTATCGTCAACTATCCTATTCCTTCAAGAGCTTCTTGTGGATCAATTGCTGCACTTTTGGTGGCGGCTTCAAAAATCAGTCAAGGGGAATACTCCCACAATTGGTTTGATGACCAATCTGCTGAACCAATTGATTAACAATTTTTTTGATAAACAGAAATTGAAAAGAAGGGAGTTGTGAAGACATCTGTCATATATCCCGCTACAATAGTTCAACTTCACTCAAAGACTCCGTTTGCCCCTTTACCAACGAATCAATGATCGTCTTTGAGTCACTTTCAAAAATCACAGACCTCCAGCCTTCAGCCTTTGCTATAAAACATGCCTTCCTTATCGCCCAAGCTTCAGCTGCCAAGGGAGAGGCAACACATATCTTCCCCAACAAAGCAGTAATAACCTTCCCTGTATGATCTCTAGCCACAGCTGCATACGCACCTTTCTTCCTCTTTGCAGCAAAAGCTCCATCACAATTAACCTTCATCCAGGGCGGTCCAGGCTTTTGTAACCATTGGCTTACTATGATTATCAGCCCTATCCCTTCTAAGATGTTGCAACTCCATTACTGCCATCCCTGCTTGCTTGTCTGATGACAGTCATACTATCCACAAGCTTCCCATTAAAACACCAATTATATTGACCCTTCCATATAAACCACATCACAAAGGCAATGAAGGATCTACTCTCCTTATCACTCCAACCTCCCCCTGGAAAACTTTAGAATGGGACATCAACCAATTCTCAATCCTAGTAACTTTGAATCTATCCACTTTAATTTCCAGTGGAAATTTTCTCCACACCTCAGCCACCCAAGGACATAAAGGAGATGGACATACTTTCCTTCTCCAAAGGTTTTGTCTGGTTGCAATAGCTCCCATCGCCACCTTCCATCGAAATGAATTAATCTTTGGTGTTGCATCAATCGCCCAAATCATCTTCCAGAAACCCTCTGGTGGTTGAAAAGATAAAGAGGCTTGTCCTCTGATCATCGGAGTTTCACTTAGGCTAACCTCCAAGTGGTAACCACTCTTCATCGAGTACTGACCAGAATTTGAAGCTTCCCATGTAACCTTATCCTCATGTTCATACTCTGATAATGGTATTGCGAGGATAGCTGGGACCATCTCAAGTGGAAAAATCTCTCTAATCACATCCTCCTTCCATCTTCTCATATTACACTAGATAAGCTCATTCACCTTCCTAACTTCACTGTGTGTGTAGTTTATAACACTCCTAAGGCCAAGAATCCAATGATCCTTCCAACAATCAATGCAATCTCCCTTCCCCACTTGCCAAATGATTCCTTTTGCTAATAAATCTCTTCCTGTGAGTATGCTTTTCCAAATCCGTGAGCTGTTAGCCTTTGGTTTAGCCTGTCACAAAGAAAAATTTGGGAAGTACTTTGCCTTCAGCACCCTACTCCAAAGGGATTTTGGATCTTGAAACAATCTCCAAGCTTGCTTTGCTAATACTACCTCGTTAAATTTTTCCAAATCTCGAAAACCCAACCCTCCTTCATGTTTTCCTCTTGTTATCACCTCCCGTCTCTTCCAATGAATCCCTCTTTCCCCGTTTGATTTACTCCACCAAAACCTTGAAACTGCAGCATAAATCTCGTGGCAGAGTGTAATTGGGAGTTTGAAGTGTTAAGAAATATAGAGTTATTTTGTTTATTAAGGGTAGAATAGTCCTTTACTTTCTCTACCTTGTTTAGCTTATATATAGTCTCTTTATATTTATGTTAATTTATTCCCTTGTATTCATTGGAATTATGAAGTATCAATAAAACTCTAGCCTCCTCTTTTCTTATTTCTTGTATTTCTTTAGATTGTTCAACATAGTATCAGAGCAAAGTTTCATGGGACAAGTTTTAATCTCAAACATAGTTTACGCGGTTTCGTTTTTACAATTTGATATTTGTTCCGTTTTTGCAATCTGATATTTGTTCCGTTTTTGCAATCTGATATTTGTTTCGTTTTTGCAATCTGGTATTTGTTCCATTTTTTGCAATCTAGTTTTCTTTGTTTGTTGATTATGGCTACTGCAAGAGACGATTCGCTTAAGTCTGTGAGTGTGAGGTTAGATGAAAAGAATCATTCGTATTGGAGTTATGTGATGAGAAATTTTCTTAATGGTAAAAAACTATGGGGATATGTTAGTGGAACTTCTGCGAAACCTAAGAATACTGATGCGAGTTATGCTGATTTGATAGATGTCTGGGAAGCAGACAATGCAAAAATTATTACTTGGATCAACAATTCTGTTGAACATTCTACAGGTACGCAGTTGGTAAAGTATGAGACAGCAAAGGAGGTTTGGGATCATCTGCAAAGGTTATTCATTCAATCAAATTTTGCAAAGTAGTATCAATTGGAGCATGAAATACAAATTCTTCAGCAGAAGAATATGAGTATTCAGGAGTTTTATTCTGATATGACAGATCTTTGGGATCAATTGGCTCTTACAAAATTGGCTGAATTAAAGGCATGTGGTGCTTATATTGCTCGTAGAGAACAACAACGATTGGTATAGTTTTTAATGACACTTCATAGTGATTTGAAGGACTTAGAGGTTCAATTTTGCATCGTTCTCCACTTCCTTATGTTGACTCATTTGTCAGTGAGCTATTGGCTGAAGAGATACGTCTTAAGTCTTATTCTGACAAGGGAATTCTTTCTACTTCTGATCCTTCTATGCTAGCAGTACCTTCTAAACCATTCTCTCACAATCAGAATAAGCCTTACACAAGGCCTGCCTTCGACGAGTGCAGTTTCTGTAAGTAGAAAGATTATTGGAAGGCTCAATGTCCTAAGTTAAGACAGCAAAATTAATCGCAGCAGTAATCTCAAGCTTGGAAGTCTGACAACTAGTCACAATCTAATGCTTCTAGACCATCTCAGGGTTACAAACCACCACAGTCTAATACTGCAGTAGTAGTTTCATCAGGTCCTTTCACCGATTCTAGTACCTTGGCTGAGCAATTTCAGAAGTTTCTCTCCTTACAGCTGCAAGCTATGTCTTCTTCTTCTTCAGAAGGTCAGTTGCCTCTTAGTTCTCCAGGTATGTCACATTCTGTATGGGTCTTGGATTATGGTGCTTCACATCATATGTCTCTAGATTTTTCATCTTTTGTTTATGTATCTCTTTCATCTTCTATTCCTGTTATGACTGCTGATGACACTCCTATGCCTTCAGTAGGTGTTGGTTCTGTTGTCACATCTCACTTCTCTCTCTCTAATGTTTATCATATTCCAAAACTCACATTAAATCTTACTTTTGTTGGTCAGTTATGTGATTCTGAAATTTTAGTCACATTTTCCTCTTTTTCTTGTTATGTGCAGGATCTGCAGTCTTAGAAGTTGATTGGGACAGGCCGTAGGAAGGGGGGACTATATATTTTGGACAAGTTAAAAGTGTCAGTTGCTGCTGCTACTAGTGTTAATTTATCTTCTTTTCGTTTGAGTCCTTCTTCTTCTAATTTTTATTTATGGCATTCTCGTTTAGGTCATATTTCGTCTTCTCGTTTGAGATTTTTGGCATCCACAGGGGCTTTAGGAAATTTGCAAACTTCTGATATTTCTGATTGTAGTGGATGTAAACTAGCAAAATTTTCAGCTTTACCTTTTAATCGAAGTATTTCTGTTTCTTCTTCTCCATTTGATTTGATTCATTTTGATGTATGGGGGCCTTCTCCTGTTGCCACAAAAGGAGGGTCTCGATATTATGTTTCTTTTATTGATGATCATACTCGTTATTGTTGAATTTATTTAATGAAACATCGTTCTGAATTCTTTGAGATATATACAGTCTTTCGAGCTCTTGTCAAAACTCAACATTCTGCTGTTATCAAATGTTTTAGGTGTGATTTGGGTGGGGAATACACTTCTAATAAATTTGATGAGTTGCTTGTCTTAGATGGAACTATTCACCAAACTTCATGTACAGATACTCCTAAGCAAAATGGTGTTGCTGAAAGAAGACATAGGCACATTGTTGAAACTGCTCATTCTCTCTTGTTGTCTTCTTCTGTTCCTAGTGAGTTTTGGGGTGAAGTTGTTCTTACTGCTGTAGTTTTGATTAATACAATTTCATCTTCTCATATTTCAGGTGTTTCTCTTTTCGAAAAGTTGTATGGGTATGCCCTTAATTATTCTTCATTTAGAGTTTTTGGTTGTACTTGTTTCGTTCTTCGTCCTCATGTTGAACGCAACAAGTTGTCCTCTCGATCTGCTATTTATGTATTTTTTGGTTATGGTGAAGGTAAAAAGGGGTATCGTTGTTTTGATACAATAACTCAAAAACTTTATGTGTCTTGTTATGTTATTTTTCTTGAGCATATACCTTTCTTTTCTATTCCATCCACTACTTATAGCTTGACTAGATTTGATCTTATTCGTATAGATCCTTTTTTTGAGGATTCTGATAGTTTGTCATCTCAGGTTTCTAGTATTTCAAATACCAGCACTGATCATTCTACAGGTACTGACGCTTTACTCTCTAGCACACCTGAAGTTACCTTCTCTCCTATGGTCCCTCAAGCTCCGTCTGAGATTGTGGATCCACCTCTATGTCAATCCACATGCATTCGTAAGTCCACAAAGTTACCAGATTTTCTTATTCTTGTTATTTTTCATCTTTTACT